GGAAAAGAAGGTCATCATAAGCTATGCTCCCTCTGGCTTCGGTGAAGAATCTTTAGAGCTCATTTAGCCCCTATAGATAAGCAAAAACACTTTATTTCAATAGGCTATATGCATATATGTATATTTATATATTATGCTTTTCTCCCAAATTTGAAACAGAGCAAATAATCCTAGAACAGAAGAGCAAAGGTATAATCTTTAAGTGAAAAACAACCACCATTAAAATAATAATAGAAGAATAAAATAGTATATACATTGAGTGGCCAGATTATCATGATCTCTGAATGCATAATAATCTGGCCACTCAGTGTATATCCTATAATAATAAAAGGCTAATATGCAAATTGTCACCTTGATCAGGTGTTTGACCAGCAGGCAGGCTGGCCAACTGCCCATGTCCTCTCTGTCTGGCCAGGCTGGCCAGCCCCCACCCAGGCATAAATTCATGCACTGGGCCTCAATATATACACACACTCACACACACACACATACACACTTATACATACATATATACACACATACATATGTATACATGTATACACACAAAGATATGTATACATATATATATCATATATATCCTACCTAATAAAAGAGAAACATGCAAATTGACTGCACTTTAGCTATGCCCACAAGCCCTGCCCACCAACTAATTAGGGTGAGCATGCAAATTAACCCAACCAAAATGGCAGTTAATTTGCATATCCAGGCCAGAGGGAAAACTGAAGACACATAGAAAGAAGCCAGGTACTGTGGAGAAGCAAGTAAGCAGGGCAGAAAGAAGGGAGGAAAGCAGGAGGGCCGGGGAAAAGGGAGAGAAGCAGGTGGGCAGGGAGAAGGGAGGGGAAAGCAGGCAAGGTGGGGGAAAGGGAGGAAAGTAGGCAGGGTATCGACTGCAGCAGGAAGCACTATTGCAGGAATCTTCCTGTAAGGGGCATCTAATATATGTATATGTATGTGTGTGTGTGTGTGTGTGTGTGTAGTGTGTGTATGTATGTATATATAGTATGTATATGTATGTGTATATATTTAGTATGTATATGTATATGTATACACACACACTCTGAGTGGTCAGATTATTATGCCTTCAGAGATCATAATAATCTGGCCACTCAGTGTATTTAGTAAAGTCTAGGATAAAAAAGAGAGAGTAAGAAATACAACTACTGAAGAACAGAAATAAACCTTTTTCTTAAAGAAAAAGAGAACCACTATAGAAAATTTGTTGATTAAAAAATAAAATCAATAACAAACAACACTAGGAACAGAAATTACATGGTTATCAGACAACTAGTCTCACGTTTCCACTTGGCCTAAGGACAGCTTTGCTTATATTTTATAAAATCTAAAAAGCCAATATGGCTGAGACCGGTTTGGCTCAGTGGATAGAGCATCGGCCTGGGGACTGAAAGGTCCCAGGTTCGATTCTGGTCAAGGGCATGTACCTTGGTTGCGGGCACATCCCCAGTGGGGAGTGTGCAAGAGGCAGCTGATTGATGATTCTCTCTCATCGATGTTTCTAACTCTCTGTCCCTCTCCCTCTCTGTAAAAAATCAATAAAATATATTAAAAAATAAAAATAAAAAGCCAATATGTCCAACACCAAGGTCATCGCTTCCTCTTGTTTAGAATAGTCCTGCTCTTGGCTTCCTGCAACTATGGGTCTTAGTCCGTTTGAGCTGCTCCAACAATAATACCATAGACTGTGTGGGACATAAACAACAAACATTTATTTTTCACAGTTCTTGAGACTGGGAAGTTCAAGATCATGCCACTGGCAGATTCAGTATCTAATGAGGACACTTCTTTTTGACAGCCAATTTCTCACTGTGTCCTCACATGGTAGAAGGGACAAAGGATCTCTCTCTCTCTGTGGCCTCTTTTATAAGAGCATTAATCCCATTCATGAGGGCTCTACCTGCATGACTTAATAATCTCCCAAAGGCTCCCCCTACCAGCATAATACTATCACCTTGGGGGATTGGATTTCAACATGTGAATTTTGGGAGAAAGGTCACAAACATTCTGTCCATAGCTCTATGCTTTCTAATTCCCTGTTTCTTTCAGTTTTACTCCTATTGGGAAGAGGGTTTTGTTCTTTATCCCTCTTATTCAGCACTTATCTGGTTGTATTATCCTTATGAAATGTCAACAGATTCACTGTTTCAATTCCATTCCCCTGACTATGCCATAGAATAGATCCTTATTACTACTGTGTTTCCCCGAAAATAAGACCTAGCGTATGGAAAGATAAGACATCCCCTGAAAGTAAGACCTAGCGCAACTTTGGGAGAAAAAAATAATATAAGACACTGTCTTATTTTCGGGGAAATAGGATATTACTTCATTTCTAGTTTGACGTGGTAGGCCTATAGCTTGTTTCCTGATTCTAGTCTCTTACCTGAGCAGTTTAAATAATGGTTCTTTCTGGGTTGGTTTTGCCTTGTAGGAGAGTATACGTTTATTATTTTGTGCTTACCACTGAGAATTTAATACTTAGAATAATTCTAGATTCATAACTCATTTAGAAGATAAATTAGTGCCCTGACCAGATAGCTCAGTTGGTTAAAGCATCATCTCGATATTCCAAGGTTGGAAGTTCAATCCCCATTCAGGGAACATATAAGAATCAACCAATGGGTGCCTGAATAAGTGGAATAATAAATCGATGTTTCCCCTCCCTCTCTCCCTTTATAGCTTCCTCTCTCCCCCTCCCTTCCTTATTCTCTAAAATCAGTCAATAAAGGTGTTTTTAAAAGAGAAAGAATTTATTTAATTCTACCTCCTGGTTTAATGAAACAAAACCTGTACTAATATGCTTTTATTCTCACACTAATGGGCTCATCCTATCTATAATAAAAGAGGAATATGCAAATTGATCTCAGATATGCCCACAAAGCCACACCTACCAGCCAATCAGGAACGAGTATGCAAATTAACCCAACCAAGATGACTGCGGCGACAGAGTAGGCGGCTTGGGTTGCCCCCAGCAATGGAGGAAGCCAAGCTTTCTGCCTGCCCTTGTTGGCCCAAGCCTCTGCTCAAGGCTACAGTTTCAATTATAGAGGATAAATCCCAACAAAAATGGCTGCGGACATGGAGACTACTTACTTTAAATCTTGACTTTAGTTACCAAAGTTCTACCATAAAGCTGGAGGGATCCTTGATCTGTGCCTGTAGAGTGACAGCTTGTACTGGCACCAAAGATTAAAGCCAGACAACATTTCAGATATCTCTGTGCAGTTATTACAGTAGTTCTCAATAAGTATTTTTTTTTTAATGAACAAGTGAGTGAGGAGGCGTGTATCAAAAGACTGGGCAGATCTCACAGGTCAAAAAAGGATTGTGAGCTTGTGGCTAGGTACTTAAGGCACCCCAAGGAATTGAGCAATAGTGACTGAGAAATTTCAACACTCAAATATTTTTTTAAATTAATAAATGAAAGATTTTTAAAGGAAAAAACAAATAGTCATAGTCATAGATGGTTAGATATTTTCTTCTCTGAGGGAGGAAGGATAAATTTAAACATTATTTCAATGTAAACTTTCAAGTTTAATTTTTAAAATTTATGTGTATTTTTATCTATGCTTCTCTATGAGCATTCAGTTTGATGCATAGTTTTTTAAAAAATATATATATTTTATTGATTTTTTTTCAGAGAGGAGGAGAGAGGGATAGAGAGCTAGAAACATCGATAAGAGAAACATTGACTGGCTGCCTCTTGCACACCTCCTACCGGGGATGTGCCCGCAACCAATGTACATGCCCTTTACCGGAACCGAACCTGGGACCTTTCAGTCCGCAGGCCGATGCTCTACCACTGAGCCAAACCGGTTTCGGCTGATACATAGTTTTAATGATTTCATATTGATTTATGTAAGTTATATTCTAATGGTTTGACCATATATCTTGGACTATAACTTTTAGCTGTTATATTTCTACTAGAAGCCCAGTGCATGAGTTTGTGCACTAGTGGAGTTCCTGGGCCTGGCCTGTAGGATTGGGCTGAAACTGGCTCTCTAACATCCCCTGAGGAGTCCCGGATTTCGAGAGGGCACTAGACCAGGGCGAGGGACCCCATGGTGCACCATTGGAGCTGGGAGGGACGTGGGAGGTTGGCCAGCCAGGGAGAGCTCCAGGGCATGTCTGGTCCATCTTGCTCAGTTCCAATTGGCTGGACCCCAGCAGCAAGCTAACCTACCAGAGGGTCTGCCACCTGGTGGTCAGTGCACCTCATAGCTAGCGGTTGTGTGGCCTTAGCATATTATTACCATACTAGAGGCCCGGTGCAGGAAATTCATGCATTGGGGGGTGGTGTCTCTCAGCCCAGCCTGCACCCTCTCCAATCTGGGATCCCTCAAGGGATGTCTGACACCCAATCCCACAGGCCAATTGGACATCCCTCTGACAATCCAGGACTGCTGGCTCCCAACTGCTTGCCTGCCTGCCTTCCTGATTGCCCCTAATCACTTCTGCCTGCCAGCCTGACCACCCCCTAACCACTCCCCTGCCAACCCAATTGATGTCTAACTGCTCCCCTACCAGTCTGTTGCCCCTAACTGCCCTCCCCTGCAGGCCTGGTCCCCCCCAACTGCTCTCCCTTGCAGGCCTGGCCCCTCCCAACTGCCCTCCATCTTGTGGTGGCTATTTTGTGTCCACATGGGGACAGGTTCTTTGACCACATGAGGGCAGCCATCTTGTGTGTTGGAGTGATGATCAATCTGCATATTACTCTTTTATTAGATAGGATTATGCTTTGATTGGTTGAACAGACAACCAGACACTTAGCACATTAGGCTTTTATTATATAGGACTTTTGTTGGATTGGAAAGACAGTGTTATTAAATTGTTAAATTGCACATCTGAATTACCTTGCATTTGAGGAATTTTTATCCTTGAAAATCATAATATATATCCTCATGATTTGAGCTATTTTCTCATGAAGAATATGTATTCTTAAGTTATAATAATTTTAAAAAACTTTCTTTTTAACATGCACACAGGAAACCTCGACCTGTCTCCCAGTTGGTTGCGCAGCAGGTTACTCAGCAGTTTGTGCCCCCTACACAGTCAAAGAAAGAGAAAAAAGATAAAGTAGAAAAAGAAAAAAGTGAAAAGGAAACAACTAGCAAAAAGAACAGTCATAAGAAAACCAGGTAAAATAATAAAATTAACCATTTTATCTCTTTTAATATGATATATACAAAGTAGAAGTAAAATATTTCATCTCTTTTATTGTAAAGTTTTGGTGTTTTTTTTTGTTTTGTTTTTATTTCTGTTTTGTTTTGTTTTTTTAGTTTGTAAGGTATACTAGAAATTAAACACAGAGGCCATAAATATAAGCTTAAATGTGAGAATGTATGTGTGTTTTTCACTAGATTAAAAGGCATTTGTGTTTAAGTTATTTCTTTTTCACTCATAAAGCCAGGAGTACTATTCACAGTATTCACAGATATTTACATGGGCTTTAATCAGTCAAAATGGTCATAGGTTTAGACAGAATAGATAATCTTGATGCCTTTAACTAGGCACATCAGTGGAGTAACAACCCAGCGTATAATGTAACCTTAGTTGTTCCAGCTTCCTCTGTGATGTAACTATATCATTGCCCTTCTAAAACATTTGTTTTTTAAAAAATTGATAATCTATTTGCAAAATTAGGATAAAGCTATAAAAGCACAATTAAGAGCCTGTTACACAGTTTTTTGTCACGAATAAGATTCATGAGTGAGTGGTTTGAGTAATGTTAAGGACTTGAAACATTTAATGGTATTTTTTGTTGCTAGAATAGATACACATGGATGTAGAGTTTTAAACAAAGATGTTTTTATTTTGTTGTTCTTACCTAATTTATTCATTATGTGCACAGAAAGTTAGTAGACAGAAAAGATAGTTTAAAATTATATCATCTTTTGTGTGTTTAGGCCACGATTGAAAAACGTGGATCGGAGTAGTGCTCAGCATTTGGAAGTTACCGTTGGAGATCTGACAGTCATTATTACAGACTTTAAGGAGAAAACGAAGTCACCACCTGCATCTAGTGCTGCTTCAGCAGATCAGCACAATCAGAGTGGCTCTAGCCCTGATAACACAGAGAGGGGAATGTCCAGGTCATCTTCACCCAGAGGAGAAGCCTCATCGTTGAATGGAGAATCCCATTAAAGTTTATTTTCTCCAATTTCTTAGTTCTGTCATATCATGCAAATACACAGATTATGCCAAGAAGTACCACATTTTCATGACAGACATATTCATACACAATTCATAATTTGCATTTTACATAAAATAGAAATTTGTTAGAATTTGTTAGATTTGATTGCAATCTATGCCTACCAAACATTTCCAGACTTTAACATTTTGGTCTCCACAGTTAAAGGTGCCATGAAAATGTGGTTGAATTATTCATTATGCAGTGTTATTGGTAAGTCTATTTTCACTTTTAGTTTAGTGAATTCTAACACATAATTCTTGAATTCTCTACTATTGGCATGTAACGAAGTTAAATTTTATAACATAGTGCAAGCTGCCTAAATATGTACTATTATTTGAGAATTGTGAAACAAATAGTTATATGTATACAAGTCAAAGATCAACTTAATCAACTATTGCTGCAACAGGATTTTCTTAATGGCTATCCTCTTAATACACCTGCTGGTACTTGGTGTGGTTAAATAGAAAAACTGTTATTAAATAAAGAATTTGTATGAACTGTTGCCAATATTTTTGACACATTTTACTAAATTATTTTTCCTGAATTATGTTTCTGGTTTTACCTCCTTTTTTTTGTTTTTGTTTTCAAAACATTCATTTGTTGTAATGTTTACTCTCAGACTAGTAAACAATAAAACATTGATTATTTAGCTTTATAATTGAAGTTTAGTGCTATTGTCATTGAACACTGGTATTTTCTGTATTATATAAAATATTAAAATTCAAATAATTATAAGCATTTGACAAAAGCAGAAGAGAAAAGAAACCTGCCATATTTCCATATTTTAAAAGCTGCAGTTTTGGAAAAGCTTTAACTTAATAGTTCTATCACTGTTTCCTCACCCCAAACTTTATCCAGGGTTATAGAAGTATGAATCTAAGAAATACAGAAATGGCAACTGTTGCACAGAACTGGGGGAAAAAAATAGTCTTAAATCAGTTTAATTGGCCTCTTATTAAATGTAACATTTCCTAAGAAAATCATAGTGCCCTATTTTCAGACACAACTGCCAGTTTATGCATTTATCAATATCCCAAGATATAAAAAAATATTTACAGCTCCACTTACTATTATGTAAAGTTATGAATAAAATATTTTTATGACTACAGATTTTGCATTTTTGTTTACAACTAATAAAGTGTTTTATGTTATATTTAAAAATCAAACCTAGAAACCACACAGTACTTCTTAAATTCTCCTTAGGTCTCCTGCTTTTTCTTAGCCATTTGCTTAATATATAGCCAACTGTAGGAGACTTCTGCAATATCAATGAATTTAACATAACTTGTTACACAAGATATCATATAAAGACATCATGATAGCATTTTAAGAAAAACAAAAACAAAAAACTGTAGACCCTGACAGTTGTGATATATGGTGGTTTCATGTGATAATGTAATTTTCTGTTTAATTGCAGTACTTTTTACAGGCACAATGGTACTGTCTTTTTTGTAAGATGCTAGTTGTGAAATACAGTTAATTGCATACAGTAAAAGTCTGTGATTAAAACATTTATATACCTCATTCTTTAGTGTTGTTAAATGAAACATTAAAATTTGTTTTTATCAGATACTTTCAGTGGAACCGCAACTAACTGGTTATGTTCTTTTAAAAAACATGAAGTTTTTTCTGTCTTAAATCATATTTCAGATGTTTTTAAAAATATGCTTATTTTTAGACGTAGCAAAAATTACAAATAATATTAATAGGGAAAATAGTCTAGAATTTAAGTCAAAACTATAGAGTACTGGGTCTTCTGATGATGCTCAAATCCTTTTAGAATGTATTTTCAATGAACTGTAAAAGAGACAAATCTGACAGAAGGTGGTGTTTTACCTGAAAGGGGATGGCATAGTCATCTTTCTGTATTGGTGGGGAGATAATGTAACATGGAAATTAAAGTGTAACTGGTGTCTGGCATTAGAATCCCTGTTGTAGAACCTAAGTGAGCTTGAGTAAATTACTCAAGGTTACTTCCCATCTGTTAAACAGGGTGATGATAATCATATCTAACTCATAGGGTTGTTGGGACAATTAAATGTCAATCCATAGAAAGTTCTTAACCATTACTGACACATACTGGATGCTTAACAGAAATCATTCCCATACCCTCTTGTATGACAGAAAGGAATTGTGTTTTATAGTTTATACTAAATTTTCCGCATCAGATGTTTGCTCTGATCCTAGACCACCTGTCTTTCCATAATTAATCTGATAGTGGGCACTATGAGTCAGCAGAAACGAACCAAGTTTAAAATTTTGTTTTCCTTCCATTCATCATAATTATCTTCACCTACCTTCATTTCACCCTACCTCAAACACTTTCAAATGAGGAAGCAGACCCAAATCCCACCTTAAAACCTGGTATTAAAATATGCAAAAAGATTCAGAGCCTGGGCTAAAGGTACATTTTTAGCTTTGTTTCATCAATTTACCCTGTGATTGTAGCAATGGGTTCTTTAACCATATTCCATACAAAAAGAGAATTTGGATGTTTTTCAGAGTTTATTACCTTATTTTGATATAAGTAAGAGTGAAGATATAATTTGAGGCATACAAGAATACATACTCTTAAAGCCTTTTGTATTAGAAATAGTTGACTTAATAAAGGTTTTATATTTATTAAATGCTTTCCTAAAATTAGGGATGATAGCAGACAAAGTGAAAACATTGAGATTGGAAGAAAAACTTCAGCTTTTCTAAGTTGATTGCATATTTATTACCTTTCTTTTAGGTAAAAATCCTTATTGCCTAAAAAGAATGTTGTTTCTGCATATTATATGCATTAATGCTAAATGGTCTAGATACAGGGGTCGGCAACCTTTAAGACATAAAGAGCCACTTGGACCTGTTTTCGAAGGGAAAAAAAAAACCTGGGAGGCGCAAAACCATTGCGACATTTAAAACAAATATAACACTGCATATATTGTTTCTTACCTTAATGCTGTATACCGGATCGTGCAAAAAAAGGATTTTTTTTCACTTAACAAAAAGAGCCGCATGCGGCTCCGGAGCCGCAGGTTGCCGACACCTGGAGAAGTTCTAGTTTCTACTAAGGCCCCCCCCCCCCTTTTTTTTTTTGGTCTGCAACTTAATTTTTTCCAGTCTTTTAAGACCTGATGTAGAAACAGTGAAATTGATAATTTCTGTACTGTACTTTGAAAATTAAGTGAAAAAAGAAAAGTTTGGGTAAGAATAAGGATAATCATAAAATAATACTTTGACCTATTAGCGTTGCAGCCTCCCCCCCCCCCCCCCCCCCCCCCCCCCCCGCACCCCGGAACAACAAATGTAGAAAATTGATATGTAAAAAAGTTATGTGTCAAATATAGCTGAGCAGAATCAAGAGACAACGAAATTGCAGAATATAGGATGTGACTTTTTTTTTTTGTTTTGTTTTTTTTGTTAAAGCAGAAGAAAAAGAATTCCCTCAATTGTTCTTGAATGAAAAAATAAGCCTTGCTAATATCAAAGGCAAGAGAGAATATGAATGGGGGGAAATGAGGGAAGAAGGGGAAAATGAAGCACAAATAGTAGCAGAAATTAGAAAATGGGGCATTGGGGTGCTATCTGGATGATAGAGGAAAATCACTAGGAATGGGGGAAGTGAAGAGGGGAAAGAGAACAAATGGAGCTTAGAACATGTCTCTGAAAATGCTTGAAAAACATTCCATGATAAATCATGACGACTCAGTAATTAAAGTTTCAGTTGTGTTTAGACTTTTTACTAGGGCATAAGTATGTGATAACTTTAGAATGGTTTTCTTCAAAGCCAGTTAATTTTAAAAAGCTGCCATAGCGAAGTTTCACCTTGAATTATATGAATACTTCCCTGAATGTACATCCCCACTAGCCCAGGTAACTTAAGCATTATGTTTCTAATATGGCATTCTACTTAGCCAGTGCCGATATTCCTGCCTTTATGGGAATAGGCCAGCCCTGGATCATATGAAATGCTGTGATAATGCAGGTACTTCAGTGAAGGAGGAAAAAAAAGATAGCTTTGAAAGCTTTCAGTGCCACGGGACATTCCATGTTCTGAATCTTCTCTGATGGTGGTCCCTGCCCCAGTGTCAGTAGGAGTTGTACAGCTGTTCTTCCATTGTAATACTTGTAGTATTTTCCTGATCTAGGCTTTCTTTACATCAATGTTACTTAACTCTGACCATTTATTGGGTATGTTTTGTGTACTAGGCACTGGCTAGGAAATCTTAGAGGAGAGATCTGTACATTATTAGAATGCCATCACTGCAACGATAACTATATGTAAGATATAGAAGTAGCATTAAGCTGGGTATATTTGTCACGACTTTGCTTCTAGAAAATACATCTTCACTGCAAGCCCACACTGGATCTCATCTCATAGTTGTAGCCGATATTGTTGGGTGTCAACAAGTAGTTTTAGCCAGCACCATTTCATTATTCCAGCTCGAATTTCCAAAAGTTTAAAACTTTAGGCCATATAATGTGAGATTATCACTTCCCCATACTTTTAAAAAAATCAATAAACAGCTGAAGGAGGTTTGCTATTGCCTTATGAAGATTATTGAGGGAACATTCCGTCATTCAATACCAATCTCCAAATGGTAGATTGTATTCAGACCTTTCAGGAAAATATTTACTTCTCCTGATAAATCAATTTTCCTTTTTCTTATGGACAATACTAATCATTAAATGTCCTCGGTGTTTATTTTAGTTGTGAGAAATCTCAGATTAAAATGAAGCTTGCTTTCAAAAATTACGTTGGGCTCAATTGCCTGCATGTCTATATTCTGATTTGATATTCTTCCGTCTTCTAGATTCCGATTTTTATCTCATGTTTTTCCTTGTGTCATTCTAAAGTTCCTCAAATTTCTTCGGTAATAAGGTTAAATAGTGACACTTTTTTAAAACTAAAAAAAAGGCTTTATTTCAAGGTGTGAGGATAAGCCCAATGGGAACTTCTTGGGCCAAGGAGCCAGTAAAGTGGTGCCTCTCAGCTGTAATTTCTGATGAGTGGAAACAATAGATGAGTTTGACAGGTCTTGAGATTATACCTTGGTTTAGATCTGCTGACTAACCTAGAAGTCCGAAGTTGGGGTGGAAACTACCATACCATCTTTGTACTTCCATTACTTCCTTTAGCAAGAGAATCAGAAACAAAACTGCTTATCAAGTTTTAGTCACTTAGACTTTTTACTGTGTATTATTTTTCATCGTCCTCTTTTAATTTATAATAACAGCAATGAATGAGCCTGTGTTTACTTTGGAGTCAGCAAGATTGAGAAGAGTTGGGCTACTGTTTAAAACCAGGTTGGGAGGAGAATACTTCAAAAAAAAATGGCAGGGAAAATGTGTTTTAGAAAAGGAGAGTAGTCTGACTTCAAGAGCAGAGTGACCTGGCCTTAGGCCTAAGGGGTAGTTTTTGACCTTTAATAAGAGTAAATAAAAAAAACAAACCTATTGTTCCCAGTGCCTGATAAAATAAATAATTTAAGGGATATTTACAGCAAAAGATATTTTTTTTTACTTTATTAAAAATAAAATATGGAAATGTAAAAAAGAAACAAACTAAATGTAGGACTGAAGTGTGATGGTATCAGAATTCTTAATTATTTTAAGCCTTCAATTTTTGGGTACCTGGGTTAGGAGAATTTGTGCATGTGCTTTTTAAAAAATACATTTTTTTTTTTTTTTTTTTTTTTTTTACAGAGAGGAAGGGAGAGGGATAGTTAGAAACATTGATGAGAGATAAATATTGATCAGCTGCCTCCTGCACAGCCCCTACTGGAGATGTACCCACAACCAAGGTACATGCCCTAGACCAGAATGGAACTTGGGACCCTTCAGTCCCCAGGCCGATGCTCTATCTACTGAGCCAAACTGGCTAGGGGATGCATATGCTTTTTAAATCTGATTTTCTCCATGAGTAAATTTCCCTGCAAATCTAGCTTTTAATTTCCCTGACAGCATTTATTTTAAAGTAGTCCTATATAATAAAAGGCTAATACCCAAATTGTCCCCTCGACCAGGAGTTTGACCAGGGGCGGGGTAGGCCAACCACCTGTGGCGCCTCCCACTCCGCTGGCCCCACCCCAATCGTCTCCCCTACCCTGATTGTGATGGGACTGGCTGGACCCCACCTGTGCACAAATTCGTACTCTGAGCCTCTAGTAATGGGAGTGAAGATTGAACCAGGGAAAAATACAGAAATGGTCCATAAAATAGTCTTTACTCTCTTCCCCACTCCAACTCCTCCATACTCTTCCTTGTAGATATAATAGAAATGCTATGTAAATTCTGGGATAATTTAGGAGCCAAGGTAAGGTGACCATATGTCCCGATTTTTAGCAATTTGTCCCGCATCCCGCATCCCGTGGCATTTTAAAACAGTCTGGATTTTTGGAAAGAATCCAAAAGGTGTCCCCATTCATTGGATTTCTACTACCACTTTTTGTGGCCTGTAGCTGAGCTTTTCTTAGTTTTGTACTCTTTCATTCTCTTCCTGACCCTCCTCTTTTCCCACATTTATTGGTCTGAATGAACACTTAAAATGAAATTCTTTTTGCTTAAACTAACTATATTATTTTCCAACTTTTTTATTTCAGTCCAACAAGGTTTCTAGGAAGTAGACTGGAAAATGGAGAAATTTCATTAGAGGCCTACTGGAGGGGATAATTTTTACTTATAATCTGAGTTCCTGATTCTTTGTGCTCTAACTAATCTGACTTGTCTTTCTCTGTTTTAAGATTTTATTTTACTGTAACCTCCAAGATCAGTCTAAGAGGTTTTCATATAACATTGTGTTTCTGTTTCCTTTTTAATTTGCATCACTCAGGTTAGCATTTATTTGTTCATAGTGAGACAACATGGTATAATGGAAAAAACAAACATGGTCTTTGTATCCTCAAAGATTTTCATTCAAATTATGGATCTTCATTATTAGCGATGTGGTTAACAAACCTTTCTAAATTTCAGGTTCCTTGTTATTTAAAAGAATAAAATATCTCCTTCATATGAATGTTATAAGGATTAAATTATGTTATGCATAGACCTTTATAAAGTAGAAGTTATATAAAAATGTCCTTGAACTTTCCTCTGAAAAGGTATAGAATTTATCTTTTTCCTCAATAGTATGTTTTCTTTTTCTTTTTTTTAATTAAGAATCAAATACTCAGTGTAAATAGAGGTGAGAAAGAAATACTGAGCAGAACCTAAAGTTTACTTGAGAGACTTAGAGAAGACATAAAAAATTAAAAACACTCATGAATTGAATGTCTATTAATATCCAACATGTACTAAGAGCTTTAAGAAAAATCAAGATTAATCTTTTGAATATAATAATTCTTGAGATCTGGATTATCCTGGATATGAGAGTTTTCCAGGTCATAATTTAAACAACAGATATTGCTATTTTTAAATTTCTTTTTATCTGCCAAAATCTACCTTTTTGACAGGATGAAAGGAAGATAAAAATTGATTAAAAATTTGGATATAGCCAGCTTGTTATTAGAAAATTAAGAGGATGGTCTAAACATGAAAAAATAGGTTTAGGAATATGTACATAACCATAGTAAACTATTATAACATTAAAATATCCTAAATATCTAAAATAACTTAATTTTAGGAATATGAAATGTAATGTGAAACCTAAAAATGATCAGAAGGGCATGCACACAGCTCCTTATACTCCAAGACAACCACGTAAGATAGTATGTGAGTAACACAAAAATCATTTCTATTTTTGGAATACCTTATATACTTTTTCAACAGAATTTCCTTTTTAATTACAGGATTAAAAGGAGCCTAAGGGGAGAGGATATGGTCCAGAACCCTGATGTCAAGTAAATGGATTATTCTTCTGGATATGCTCTTCCCATAAATTGTTGCAGAAATGAAAACTGCCATTCCAGTATTTTAATAATCTGTGGGTCATTAAATTATTTTTTATTTTTACTACATTTAATTTCTTTGTTGAGATAGAGAACAATTGTAGTTAGCATCTCTTTATATTAAACATCCATGATTTGAGTACTAATTCTTACTCTAGTTTCTTGGTGTCGTATTATTTAGTTTTTTCCTCTCAAAATCTATTTTCCATTCTTATAAGTGCTTACCGTCCTTTGTATCTCCGTGCGTTTATTGCTCTAAGAATTGTAAGGTGTAGTGGAAGGAATAACTTAATATTGTCTTCATTTTTATCTGCCTGTCTCCCCTTTGAGGGCAGTACACTTTAATCCCTTGTCTGGCATGTAGAATATATTCAATAAATGTTTATTGAATGAATAAGTGTATGTTTTCATTCTATTTACACATCTTGATAGAATGCTAGTTTTTCATTTTTGTCAGGTAAGGCAAGACCCTTTATTTTTATAGGGGAAGAAACTGGCTTAGTGTTTAGTGACTGCCGGCCGGCCGGCGTGGCTCAGTGGCTAAGCATCGACCTATGAACCAGGAGGTCAGGGCACATGCCCAGGTTGCCGTCTCAATCCCCAGTAGGGGGCGTGTGGGAGGCCACCTATCCATGATTCTCTCATCATGGATTTTTCAATCTTCCTCTCATTCTCCCTTCCCTTCTGAAATCAATAAGATATTTATTTATTTTTTTAAATGTTTAGTGACTTCCCCTGGTCACAGAGCCAGCACTTTCTTGGAATTTCAAATGGAGAACTGTTGTTAAGTTACATAGCACTTCCTCACCTAGTTTCTCATCGCCAAACTCTCCAGAGCTCCAAATGCAATTGAACAATTTAATAGCACGATTTTTCTCTCTGAAATTGTGTGTGTGTGCGTGTGCGTGTGTGTGTAAAGCTTCCTTTCCTTCACTTTTCGGTACTGGAGCTGCTTTCGGGCTCCAGTCTCAGTCCCGGTCCCAGCCAGAATCTGCTCCCTAAAAGGCAAATGCGATCATGTTACTTCCTAATTTAAAAAACAAAACAAAAAAAACCCAAAAACCTTCAGTGGCTCACCATTATCTGCCAGAGTAAGTTCAAACTCTTTGGCATACTAAACAAGGCACTCAAGTAACTAGCCCCTTCAACTTCTACGGTCTTATCGCTGATCATATCACCTCTTGCATTCACTTAGCTGTGGTATCAAACTTCTCGCAGTTCACTAAACACAAGAGCCTGTTTCACTGATTCTCCCAGCCTGGAATTCCCTTAGTACAACCCTCCCAATACTCCCCCCCCCCCACACACACACCCTATCCCTAATCCTCCCCATACCCTAGGGCCAATTTTGCTATGAAGTTTCTCTTGACCACACCCATAGTGGAACTGATTGTTCCTTTGTGTGTGTGTGTCCACACCTTTACCAGCTTACATCCGAATGTCTGTATTGTACTTACAAGTATCCACTGTTCCACCCTACACTCCCAACACGGCGTCCCTATACTCCAAGGTACACACGGAGCACTTTGCACATAGTGGTGCTCTTTGTATGTCCAGTGAGCAAATGGAGTAGGAATATGGCTGAGGAAGAGGAAGAAGAAACGCATAGCTGAAGAGAGAGCTCTGTAGGGAGAATAGGAAATTGTTTTGGATGTGTGAGTGAGTTGTGAGGAAGGTCAAAAAGATGTGAAAGGAGGGATCTCAGCTTTCCCGGCTCCTGTGAGTAGACAGACAGACAGACAGGAGCAGAGCAAGGATGATGGGCCAGGTACAGGCCACCAGGGCAGAGGGGCCTGGGCGCCTAGTAAAGGACAATTGTGGTGGAGGACCTCATACCCAGGGTGACCTTGCCTCCCTAGCATCTTGCTGGTCTTGCTGTTTGGATCCCATGACCTCTCCTCTCTAGGGATAACATCTAGGCCTCAGGTGTATTCCAGCTCCAGGCCCAGATAAGCAGCCAAGTCAGACAAGCAAGGTCAGGCTGACCTCAGGACCAAATGCACTGTCCCCCTGCACTGGCACCAACCAACCAACCAGTGGAGACCAGGACCCTGAAAGAGCACACCTGGAAAGCAGATGCATATTCTCTGGAGATCTTCCCTTGGGACCTCCCCTTTAACGTCCACCCTTAAAACCCTTAGGAGAATCATCCTTCTTCCCCCCCACACACACTGCTTACCATTACTTTCTTCACTTCTGAGCTCCAAGGGCCCCATAACTTGTTTCCTAAACCCATTTCTTCCACCAATCACCTCCATCTCTATGACTTTACAAATTCATGTTCTCTTCCAGTTTGAGTCTTGGCTCTGAATTCTTTCTTAGCAAGGCTCAAGCATTGAGGTTGCTGAACCCAGGTCCGGTCTGACCCCACTGGTCTAACACCTGGTGCCCTTCTTGCTGCCCAACACTTGGGAGGGAAAATAAGCCTTCCCGACAGTATTAAAGATAACGAGGGACCCGGGTGAAATGGCTCCAATAGACAGTCTTACCCAAACTCAGAGTCCGGGGAAGTCCCTGCTGAGGACGAGGGAGCTGGAAGGCGGCTTAGTCATGTGCCTTCTAAGGGAAGGGCGTTTTATGTGCATTGAGCAACTTGGTCTTTACAACCTCCCGGGGAGAAGGATATTCTCTAGATCTAGAGACGAAAAAAACAGGGTCCTAGAACTTAGGCTGTCCGCATCGCGAGCTGCCGAGTAGAGAATTGGATGGGGTCAGCGGTCTCCAGCGCCCGTGCATCCCGCCACCGTCTCCTGTGCAGCCCAGAGCCGGGCACTCGGAGGGGCGTCTCCCCGCGCCCCGCGGGCCCGCGCCTCCGGGAGCGGGGCCGGCGCGCCCTGCCCTCCCGCGCCCAGTGCGCAGGCGCGTGCGGCCGGCCCGCCCTCGGGGAGGAGCGCGCGGAGGCTGCGCGGCCGGGGCGGCGGCGGAGGGCGGCGGCGGCGGCGGCGGCCGCGGCGGCGGAGGAACTTGTTGCGCCCGCGGCTGCGCGGTGCCGCTCCCTCCGCTCCGATTCGCGGCGGGCGCGGCGGCGGCGGCGGGGAGGCGAGGCCGGCGCGATGCGGCGCTACCTGCGCCTCGCGGGGCTGTGCCTGGCCTGCGGCTTCTGCTCGCTGCTCTACGCCTTCAGCCAGCTCGCCCTGGCCCCGGAGGACGGCGCGGGCGGCGGCGGCGGCGGCGGGAAGCCGCAGGCCCGGGCGGCTTCCTGGCTCGCGGGCGGAGGACCGGGCGCCGCGAGAGGGGCGGGCAGCGCGGCCCCGGCGGCGCCCCCCGGCGGGCCGCACAGGTACGGGGCGTGTCCCGGGTCGTGTCCCGGGGGGCGGGGGCCGGAGGCCGAGGCGGGCGGGGGGCGAGCGGGCGCTGGGCGCGGGCCGCCTCCGGCCCCCGGTTCCCCCTTCCCTCCTCCTCGGGGCGCCCGCGCCGCTGCAGCCTGAGAGCGCCCCGCAGCACTGTGGTGTGTGCCTTCCGACCCTTTAATGCCGAAGAAATTAATTTCCAACTTTCAATGGGCATTGGTTTGTGTTTTTAAAAAGCCTTCTTTGAAAAGAAGAGGTGCCTCCCCACGGGTCGGAATTCCCTCTTGTTTCCATGGAGTTCAGGTTGAGATCTTCAACAGGCTGGCGCCCTAGTTCCAGTGTGTGTGTGTGTGTGTGTGAGTGTGTTTTACCCCCTCCTGAATGGGGAGTCTGTAATTTGTGTGTGTTCACGTTTACATTTGTCCTTACGAATCGGCCGGTGAAATCTGGGCCGAGCCCTTAGGCTTTGATTGGGTTTTTCCTTAGGAAACCGTCTGTTGTGAAACTTAGAGCAAGTTTAAAAAGGCGAGCGGCCCTTACCTTGGGGAGGGATGGAGGCCTCCTTTAAAAATCGGTTTTTAAATAAGCAGCAGGACGGTTTGGGTTTGGGCGGGTGCACACCAATCACGGCCGCAGCTGGAGTCGCCTTGCGATGTGAACGGAGAAAAGAATGCAGCGCATTAGCAATGCTCAGCCGAACCCGAGGTTTCCACGTCCAGGACCGGCTCTGTGTGTTTGCGGGCACCTACCTCTCTGGGGACCACCGACCGAGCCTCCCCTCCCACCGCAGCCCTCCCTTCGGGAGAGGCACAGGCCGCCTCGATATCGAAAGTATGGGATTGGGAGGAGGAGGGGGCGCCCTCCCGCATTCAGAGTTGATGACCATCCCCCAGAGGAAAGGGACGTTTGGGTGGAGGAGCCTGGACGCGGTCAGGTTTTTGCCCTCTGATTGGATTACAGGCAGGCGGATTCCTAGGACATCAGCACTCTCTATTCCTAAAAGCAGAACTACTTCCAGAGCCAGGTTTGTCAACTCAAGTTAGCTGTCTGCGGAGAGGCAGTGACTTGAAGACCAGCATGAGGTCATGAAAAAATAAGCGTGAGAAGCAGAGGTTTATACTACTGTGAAGCATTGTAAACGGGTGGAAACGAAATTATTTTTGTATTGGCTAGAATTCTGTAGAAGCAACATTTTAATCACACCATTGAATGAAGTAATACGAAGGTGTTAGCATTTCATTTTGATAGTGACATTGATTTTTAGTGCTTTGTCTCACAATACTTTATTTTGCGGCAGATGTTTATAAGTTGTATTTGCTTTAACCAGCTAATTTTTAACAGTGTCTTTATTTGCCGTTTAGGAAAATTCATCTCCATTTTAATGAATTTTCGTTTTGTAGAACCATCACTGAAATCTTAATTTTGATGTGCCAGAGTAGAGGCAACCAAAAAGCGGGACAGGCCAGGTCCCCTGAGCAGCAGAACTTCTCAATTAATTGGGGCAGACGTCTAAGTTAAAGCTGAAGGTGTAACTAAAAAGAACTAAAGTCCTTGTGAAACTGATGAAAGACATTCCACCACACATTCATGCATAAGGAGTTTGGGCAGAGGGACCACCTGGGGAAGCCGTGCTGTCATGTTTTTACCCTGTGCTTTGAGTAGGGTCAGGAGAATTCCTAAGACATCAGGATTCTTCATTTTAGGTATTATCACTTAAAACATCTTTTTAGGTTTCTCATAGACTTCAGGCAACTCCTCTGACTACTGTAGGATATGGAGTAGGCATCTGTCACCTCCCTTCCTGTGTTTACATCATTTGACCAAGGTTCATAGGGCATCGGTCATTGGATCGGACCAGGATTAAAAATTATATATCCTTTAATTGCTCTCCAAGTGCTCTTTCTATGAAGCTGCTGTGATAAGCACCCAGTCTGTAGTATTTCATCAGTGGAGAATGGGGCTATGAGGCAAACAGAATCATCCCTTTTTCTGTGGGACTCGATTATCATTGTCTTCTTACCTTTTTTGACGCTCTCTTCCTTGAAAGATGAAGACCATCATTTCTTTCATTTAATACACGAGATCTAGGTAGATACCCAGCAGGGTCCATGGGTCAGCTCCTACAGAAAATATTGGTTTCATGGAATCCCATGACAACAAAATACTTAGGTCTTTCCAAGTGCTCAGAGTGAAAACAAAAATGATAGGAGCAGTTTTTTAGTGAAATCTATTATTGATTAATGCATTCTTGGTATTTAGACAATGCAAAGGTCTTAGAGTAAGAGAAACCTGTGTTCTCATTCTGGCTCTCTTTGCTGTGAAATCTTGACCGCCTCTCTGCTTCCCTTCTCTCACCTGCAATAAGTAGATAACTGAGGCCCAGTGCATGAAATTCACGCATGGGTAGGGTCCCTAGGCTTGGCTGGCGATCAGGGCCGATCTGTGGGGTCACCAGCAGGGTGATTGGGAGGCCCTGCACTGGCACCCACTTTGGCCAGCTTGGTGCTGCCTGCTTGCTGGCCCCATCCCCACCGCTACCACCTGTCACCTCCCATTTGCATGTCCACCGTGGACCAGTCAGCGATGCCTGGAATGGGGACCTCTGATCGGCTGGCTCTGTTGCTTGCACAGCCCTGTGGCGGAGAGAATCCCATGATTGGTGTTGGAGAGGAGTGGTGGCTGCCTCAAAGGAGGGGAAGAATGGTGGATGGGCCGTGGTTCTTCCTCCTAGAGAACGCTTAAGCTGTTCAGTATTGGACAAACTGTATTAAATTATTCAACCGAAAGCAGTTGCTATAGCCAGGCCTCAGTAGTTCTGTGAAGGAGTTATGTGCCATGTTGTGACTTTAGCTATTCAGGGTGATTAAGTTCTCACATTTCACTGATGAATCTTGACAGTGACTTTCAAGATCTCATCCTGTTGTGACTATACAGCATTTTGGCCATAGGGAATCAACAAACACTTAAGCATTTCAGTGATACCATTTCTGGACTGTCTATGCTCTTTGTGCGACTGCTTTTCAGATCTGGATAGGCCATCCGCTTGTTATTTCTGCTGGTCCTGGGAACACTCGTAAGTTTCATGGAGAATTTAAAGTGTCAGGTGTAAGGGTTTTGGAGACACATATTTCAGCTATGTCATTTACAGGCTGTTCTAACCTTGAATACATTTCCTCATCGGTTAGAGGTAAAAGTTATTTTTCAAGAAGAGAGGAGTTGGGGAAGTGACCAGTGAAGAAGGTTGAATTACTAAAGTCACCTTAATCTCTGCTAAAAAGAGGGTTTTTTTTTCAATTATAGTTGACATTCAATATTTTTTTATTTTCATTATTTTTTTATTTATTTTTTACAGAGAGGAAGGGAGAGGGATAGACAGTTAGAAACATGGATGAGAGAGAAACATCGATCAGCTGCTTCCTGCACACACCCTACTGGGGATGTGCCCGCAACCAGGGTACATGCCCTTGACCGGAATCAAACCTGGGATCTTTCAGTCTGCAAGCCAATGCTCTATCCACTGAGCCAAACTGGTTTTGGCTCAATATTTTTTTAATACTGATTTCAGGTGTACAGCATAGACATATAATTTACAGAGTGGTGCCTTGGTAAGTGTTACCCTCCTGGCACCATACATACTTATTACAGTAATATTGACTATAATTCTCCACTTTGTTAATATAGAGACAACTTATATAAAAGAAATTCTCTGCACCTTGTAATTTTAATGCACTGAAGATCATATTTCACGTAGGTGTAAAGTGTTTAGCACAAACCTGGCTAATAATTAATTAATTAAAATATTGTCTTGTGCTTTTGCAGGGGAAAGTGGTTAGGCTAATGAGAAATGTGTACTGTTGATTTAGAAATCCTATTTTAAAACATTAAGATTATTATCAGCCATACCTGTTGAAAATACTCCCCCACCATGTTAAAATTTTTTTTTCTCTCTTCAGTTTATATACCATGTGGAGCTTAAAACTCTTATGTATTCAGATAGACAGTTTTTCTTCTTTATTGTTTTTACTTTGTCATTTCTAACAAGAGGGTCCATCCCCTCCCAAACTTCTTTATATTTAAGTTTTTAATCCAGCATTTTTTCGTGTGTGGGTGGGGGGTGAACAATGTGATGCTAATTTATTTCAGAAATGGTTATCTAATATTAGAGGCCCAGTGCATGGATTCGTGCACCCGTGGGGTCCCTCAGCCTGGCCTGAACCCTCTTGCAATCTGGGACCCTTCGGGGGATGTCAGACTGCCAGTTTCAGCCCAGTCCCCACAGGTGGTCAGTGCACATCATAGCTACTGGTCGAATGGTCAAACAATTGCTTAGGCTTTTACATATATATATATATATATATATATATATATATATATATATATATATATATATATATAGTTTAGTGCCATTTATATGTAAGCAATTCTTTTCCACATCCTGTATATTCATGAAATTAGAGATTTAAGGAAAAAGAAGCTAAAAATGAAATGAAGTTGTCTGGAGGCAAGTTTTAGTTGAAGGTGAGTGACCCAGCTCTGATCTGTAAAGAATGGTGCTGTGTCAGTCCCATGGGCAGGGGCTCCTTTCCCACGGCTGATCCGCACCGTGCAGGTGCACTGTTGGCTTGTGGCACCTCATTCAGGCTCCCACTTCTCATGTGGGATATGCCTGGGCTTATCCCTGATTCTGCAAGTTGTGCATGGTTTTCACTAAAGCCTCAAAGACATTTTGATAAGAAAAATAGCTTTTTTGCAGTTTAATTAAAAAGTATAAAAGACTTCCTATAATCAAATTTAAGCTTTTAAAGAAAACTTTAAATTTGAGAACTGATATTGTGAGCATTGTGTTAAATGCTCACTTTAATCTTCAGCATGAAATGTCTCAATTTTTGTAACATTTTTCAAGTACGGAAATTTTGGGGAATTTCATTTTTGGCCAGCTTTATTTTTTTAAACTTTGGATGTGTGGGTCCACAGGAAATGGCTGAGATACCCCATGTGCACTCACTTTCCCTCAATAGTAAAACCTTACGGGCATGGAACCTTACATACTGCTGTATCTGGAATATATTTGTATCAATATAATGTAATAATGTAACCCCAGAATTTGACGTCCAATAACCCATATTTCAGTTTTTAAGTATCACCAGTTTTATATACACTCATTTGTATGTGAGGTTTTGTGTAATTTTATTACAGATGTTAATTCATATAACACGACACAATCAGGACTCAGAACTGTTTTATCACCACAAAGATCCTTTGTGCTACCCCTGATCAGTTTGCTTATGGACAAGCCATCTAGAGCTAGATACTTTAAGCCATAGAAAGTTGAGGATGAGCCGCAGAAAAATTTTATTTTATTTCAATTTGACCCACAGTGAAAACATTGCATTTATGGACTTGTCTGACTTTTTTTTATATATCACCATTTACTGAAGACATACCCACTTAGCTTAGCTTACAGTTTTGCTCCATCAAAAGTATTTAATAGAATTACTACCTTTCGAATATTGTATATCTAGTATCCATTTCTAATAGCTTTAAGGAATAAAAGAAAAAGCAATTAATAACCAGAACTTGGATAACTACTTTTACTTTTCCAGTATTGTTAAGTTTTATTTTTTTTCTGAAACTACAAGTGCTATCTGTCTCCAGATTAGTTTCTTTTCTTAATTTATTGCTTATAGTAACAGTTACTATATGTAATGAGTTTCTACTCTGTATCTTAAGTTTTAAAATCAATTTTTCATAAGAGAATGTAAATTTGGGAGGTAAGACACTTTACATTATGCCACCTTTTGCTAGCAGCATCTCAGTGTTTTATGATTAACAAAAAAGCATGTGTACTCACTAGTACTTACGTTTTACATTCCCATTAAAGAAAGGCAGAAAAACATACTTTTGTAAACTGTGTTTTCTGAGGTTAAGTTATAGTCAAGAAACTTTCCTAAAACTTAACTTTTTTACGTGGAGCTTCATCTGCATTAATCACTTGACAGTGATTACATGATCTGGCAATTCCACTTTGAGGTGTACACTTAAGAGAATTGCAAACATATGCTCACAGAAAAACTGCATGAATAGTCATAACAGCAGCATTATATATAATAGTAAAAAATTAGGAAATAACTGAAATGCCTGTCACATGATGAATAAACAAAATGTGTATACGAATGCATAAAATGCAATATAGTTTGGCTATAAAAAGTAATGAAGTGTATGATAAATGCTACACTGGATGAACCTTGAAAATATTATGCTAGTGACTGAAATCAGACTCAGAAGGTCACATATTATATGATTCCATTTTTGTGAAATGCCATAACAGGCAAAATCTATGGAGACAGAAAATAGATTTGTGGTTGCTTAGGGTTGAGGGATTGAGGATTGTAAGTTGAAGCAAAAAATGGTATTATTATGTAATTTTAAGCAATAAATTTTATAGAAAAATTTAATTAGAGAGTAATTTTCTTTGAGAGTTTATTTATTTTCTACTGTTGTAAGGTTTGACATGGAGAGATGGAATAACCAAATTAGTTATTTCCTTCCTGGAACAAAGGTGCACTTTAGGATTGATTATCAATAAATTTGTTGAAAGAAAGCGGTGTTGATGTCTGAATCTGAAGGATGGAGATACCTGTTTGAACAGGTTTGTTGTGAGGCTTAAAGGGATGGGAAAACACTTGCATCTGAAAAGAACTCTTACCACCACTGCTGAGCCTGTGTCTAGTATGAAATGCAAGTCTTAAAAAACTCATAACCATGTCTGGACAAATATGTTTCCAGATCAACTCGTATGTTTTACTGGTCTGCACACAGTTCTGTTTTTCCTGATTTTTCAGCCACCTAAATTAAAGTACATCACATGCTGTGTTTGAAAAGGGTGTGTCCCTTTAAAGGAAAATCAGATTCAATGTAACTTTTTCCCACTGATTTTAAAATTTAGACTTTGTAGTTTTATGCACTAGTGTACAGAATTTCCTAGGCAGCATTTTAAAAACCACCAGTGCCTGACCCTGTTCTTGGAGATTGATTTAATAGGTCTGGTGTGAGGCCTTGGCACTTGTGAGAGGTATGATCAGAGATCTTTGTGAATCTGAAATTCCATAAACCTTTCCTTGTAAAAGAGTACCTTATAACTGAATCTGTGGATGAAAACAAAGCTTCAGGGTGATGGGATATGAGGTGGCCTGGTTTAGTACCTCTCCCTGAGTTCATAGTCGGCTAATTTAATACCCAGGCCTCCACTGTAGTGATTTCAAACTAGACTGTTCTGAAAAGGAATAACCATGAAAAACACGCATTTTGTAACATGAAGCATTGTTTTGTTTTTTGCTCCAACCTATAATTGAAGGAAAAAGAACACATGTGAGCCACCATTTGAGCGTGTATAATATAGCAGAAACTGACATAATGTAGATAATGAAACTGAGCCATGATTTCATATTTTTTCGGTTTGAAACACTATACAAGAAGCTTTGATTGAGGATTAATTTAAAGTTCCTCTTGCCTTTTCATCAGCATCTGTGGCATTTTAAATTTGCTTCAGGATAAGCAAATATTTTGTTTGGCTAAATGGATTTTATTCTAAGGGGAATATGTACAGTCCATAAAGGAAATTTTAATTTTATTTTCTTAATTAATCCTCACCAGAGGATATTCTTTCCATTAATTATTTTAGAGAGAGGTGGGGAAGGGAGAGAAAAACATAGATGTGAGAGAGACACAATGCTTTATTGCCTCCCACTCCTCTTTAACCAAGGTACATAACTGGGAATAGAACCCGAGACCCTTTGGTCCATGGTCTGAAGCTCCAACCACTGAGCCACATAAGCCAGGGCGGAAGGAACATTTTAGATGTACTCGTGTATTTTCTGTGTTTCTAAGGAGCAGAATTTAATATGTTAGGAGAGTTCCTGACTAGGAAACTGGTTTCTGTTGTATATTCCACCCTAAGGTTTTAAAGTTCTAGATATTTAAAATAATGGTACCACAAGTAATGGAGAAATCAATTTTCAAAAATCCTCAAATTATTGTAGCAATATTGAATTTGCAAAATTGGATTTGCGGTTTTATTGCTGTAAAATAGAACAGTAAGTTATGTTTTGGGGTAAATTCCTTATTAGTTTTAAACTGAAATACTCACTTAGGACTCTATTTCTGTCTTACTCTGTTAGGTGTAAAGATTTCTCTCTGTGTTACTGGAATCCCTATTGGATGCTGCCCTCTGATGTTTGTGGAATGAACTGCTTTTGGGAAGCGGCTTTTAGGTAGGCACTTAATATTTAATTGGCAGATCAGTCAGTGTAGGTAAGATTAGATAATAGATGCATTTTTTTAAATAATAAATAGAATGTAAAAATGTTTTTTCCCCTGTAATATATCATCATACAAGTAAACGATTTACTTTCTGTTTCTTCCCCCTACTTTGTAGTTACTGCTATGGAAAGGAATGAAGTACATAATGCATATAAAATGCTCTAATCTTTTTAGATGTTATTATGATAAACCATTGTTCTTAGTAGAATTTGTGATCTGATTTTAGGTAATGAGTGATGAAGTGATAAATAGGTGATTTAAGATAGACTTCCACTGATATTTACAGAGACATATACATATTTAATTTAAAGTTAGTATACTAAACATTTTTTATGTGGATTGGGATACCTCGGCAAGAATTATTGTGGTTATTAGCAGAGATTGAATATTGGGGAGTGGGAGGATAAAGATCAGGGTTTAATGAAGGAGCAAATGATAGGGTATTGTTTATTGTTCTTTTAAATTCCTGAATAGTTTGGCCTTGTTCACTTCTCTGGATAAGGAAGGCACTGGATTGGCTGACCTCTCGGGTCCCTTTCCTGCCCTCACTTTCAATGAAAGAAACAAGTATTGAGTAGACATCAGCCTGTCTTCCTGAGATAGTGACAGGAGAGAAAGAGGCGGCAGCCTGAAATGCTCTTCCCAAAGGTAACGTTTGAGAGTCACCCACTTTTACTGTGTCTTGTGAGTCATTTACATTCTACTCATTCAGCTTGCCAGGCACAGTGCTGCGTGCTGAGAACCAGACTGTGAGTCTAGTTAATGTGGCTTCATCCTTCTGCCGCTTACATTCTGACTGGAGCTAGTAAAGCTGAGATTGCAGAGGGTGATGCATTTATTATAGCTATGATGGTGGGAGGAACAGGTGAGTCATCCATCCGGTGGGATCATCCTAAGGTACATGTGTCAAACACAAGGCCCGCGGGCCAAATCCGTCCCGCCAGGCCTTGCAATGTGGCCCGCACCGCGCTGTCATCACTGCACTCTGCTGCGTTTCCATCACAATGACAGTTTATGACTGTTCAGTAAACCATTCGGCCCGCGATTTAGGCTGGATTTTAGATTTTGGCCCCTTCTCTGATTGAGTTCGACACCCCTATCCTAAGGCATCGGGGAAGGCTTCCTGGAGGGAGCTACTGCGTGATGAACAGGCTCAAGGGCAGGAGGTGAAGTAGACTAAGTGGAAAGAATTTTACACATTTTAATATGTAATAGTATGTATTTTATAATTCTTATATACCCAATACATTATGTGTTTCATGAACTTCTGGGAAGAAATCGTTGAAATCAGATAATTTTAATTATATCTCACTGCTAGGGAAAGATCGAAATTCTAATATAGATGGTCAAATCTGATTATTCAAACTTTTAAAAATGATCTTAACCTTTTGAAAGTTAATCTTCCCCCTCAGCTTGATCATAATTTTGGAGAATTGGGGCTTCATATTTTTTATTTTTATAAAAGTGTGCTAATGAATAGAGCCTTGACAAGCGTCACCTTGCTGTTTTCAGCCTTGTGTCATAAATGTCCTCACTCTAGAAGCTTGGTAAGTTTGAAAACTTCCGTATACTCTGATCTATATAACCCAGACTCTTTTGTAGTTATAATCATAAGGCATGAGGGATAATCCTCCTCCTCCGCTGCAAGAGCAGCCCAGGGAAGTGGACCTGGTCAATCCCGGAGCCTCTGTTTATTATTCCTTTTGCTTTGGCGTCTACAGTCCCTGGAGTAATTACATGTGAATGAATATATAATGTAAACCTTTGAGCTTGTTACTCTCCTGAATTTGGGGTTTTGAAAGTTACACTTCCTTGTTATACTCTCTACTTGTAATACTGAATCCATAGTATATATCTGTAACCGTTTTGTTTCTTTCTTAGAACTTAGGATCCCTCACACTTAACTCATTCTCTTCAGACACATAGCCAAGCCAAAATGCCATATGATAGCCACATCCTTCCCCCCCCTCCATTTCAGTATTTGTTTTAAATAATACCCTCCTTTTCCCTGACTCTACTAGGTTGCCTGTCTGCCCCACCTCCTTACTTCAAAGAGGTAAAGCTGCTTTGAAATTCTCTTTTACTGTACCCTTAGGTCTCATATTTTGCCTGGCACCAGTGGGCACCTAGGTGGCACCATTTTCTTCTTCCCAGGCCTGTCCCTGCTTTGAATCTATACTAATTTATAATAGTAAATGGTGAATATGTTAATTAGACTGATTGTCTCCCGGACATCATTTCAGATGTCCTTCCTGATGAAGCCTGGGCCGGAGGGAAGCCAGTCCAGGTCCTGTGTGCCTGCCGGCGGCCCGAGGAGGGAAGCCCGGGTTCTGGGTGCCGGAGGGAAGCTGGTGCTGGCAGCTGGGGGATGGAAGGCCTACTCTTGCATGAATTTTCATGCATCGGGCATCTAGTTCTTGATATAATTTTATTTTGATCAAAGTTTATCTGGGAGGATCATTTTCTCCCAATTTATCATACAATGAACATAGAATAGCATAAAAACGAAAATTGTCTCTTATTTATTCTCTTTCCCGTTACCAGCAAACTTCTTAAGAGTGTCTACTGGCTTACTTCTGAAAACCAACCAACCTTCACACCTCAGTGCACTGTGAGTGGTGCCTGCCTCTCATTGACTCTCATTGAAGTCACCCTGCTTCTACTGTTCTTCTGGGCCTTATCTCACTTTTCTTGTCCGATTGACACTGGTGACCACTTCCTCTTTCTTTCTTTCAACTCTATCAGTCTCTGGCTCTGGAGACCAGTGTCCTCAGCTCTTTGATCTGGACTCCTTTCTCTATTCCTGACTCCTAAACATCAGAGTTCCTTAGAACTGGTGTCTCTAGTCCAGATCTCTTTACTGAGCTCCACGACTGTATGTTGTGTGTGGGCTATTTTATCTTGCCAATTCAGATGCCTCAGACACTCTTGTTCCGACCTGAACATGTGGTCTAGCCCTCCCACTTTCCCTCATCTGTAGATTGTATCTTGGTGTACCACTGACTTTCATCTGTCAGTCCACAGTGACTCTTCTACCTTTTCCTTTCACAGATGCTCCTGATGGCCTCCTCCTTCCTGTTGCCTTATCTACCATGCTCATCGCTTCTTATCCAGCTACTGAATCTCATTTTACAACTGACTTTCACATGTCAGTCTAGTACCTTTTCCTTTCACAGTTGCTCTTGATGGCCTCTTCCTTCCTGTTGCCTTATCTGTCATGCTCATCGCTTCTTATCCAGCGAGAGTGATCTCCCTTTCCTGCCCACTGCTCCTGCCTTCTCTGAGTCTTCTGTGTTACTTTACCTATTTCATCGGTTGTGGTTCTGAATCTATTTGTAGACTGTTGACTTTACAGATAGATAGTACATCGTATTCATCATGTAAGTTATGTTTTAGCAATTAATACTTACATTTAATGAAGAATTTTAATTTTTTTTCAAAAATAGTTTACTGATATCTTTTTTTTACTGGTGCTTGGCAACCAGTAAATAATTATTTCCCCCAGCATTTTCAGACTAGCCTACATGTTTATGTAGTAAGCTTCTTGAGCAGTCTCAATTTTTTTCTATTTTAAGCAGTTACCATTATTTCTGATTAAATCTTTAAAAATTCTGTCTTTTCACCAAAGGTTGTAAATTTGTGTGAGGTAAGAATTGTGGCTTTCCTACTTATCCCCAATGTCTGGAGTATGAAAGGAGTTCACATATTCATTACAAAAAATTAAGCTTTATATTATGTTCTAAAAATTATATAGATGTAAGCCTGCATCAGGATTGTGTGAATGTATTGGTGTTACCATAACCTTAAGCATTACTGGGAGTTATAATTTTATCACATACTAGGGTAAATGATGGCTTATTACTGATTTATATTTTGTTGATTATTTGTTGAGTATATTTCCATATTTAACTTTTTTTCTGTATTGATATTTTACCTATTGAGTTTTTATTGCTTATTTTATGAATTCAAAGAATTATGTGTTCTGCTTTTGCCATGGATTACAAATACCTTCCTAATTTGTTGCATTTTTTATTTTTAGTTATCTTTTTATTATGCAATCTCTTAATTTAGTAGTATTATAAATATTGTTTTAATATACTAATTTTTCTAAGAGTTGAGTTTTTAAAATACTTAATCTTTTTTTTTATGGTGGTGAATCAATTTTCAGTTCATGGAGCCTATGGTTATAGGTAAATTTAATGTTATCTGTCTTCTCTTGAGTGGTCACATGTTCATTTTAAGAAAAATGTTTTTACAGGTAATTTTATTTTTTATGTTTTAACTTTTTTATAGGTTGTTTAAAATTAGGTTTTAGTAATTAATAGTTATATTTAATATATAATTAAAATTTTTTTTTTAAAGAATAGTTTATTGATTTTATTTTTTTTTAGAGAGGGAGAAAGAGGAACATCAATATAGAAGCATAACATTGATTGGCTGCCTCCTGCATGCTCCACAATCTGAGCATGTGCCCTCAACCAGGGATCGAGCCAGCAATCTTTTGCAGCACAGGGTAATGCCTAACCAATTGAGCCATACCAGCCAGGGCTTTTAATGTAGAATTTTTAGATTTCCTTTTTTATGCTTGTATAATGTCCGGAAGAGTTTTTTTTTTAAGTATTGTATTTTGTTTCAAAAGTGATTTATATACAACTCTTTAATGGAGCTTTGTCTAGTTTGATAATTTGGCATAACTTTTTTTTTATTATATATATTTTATTGATTTTTCACAGAGAGGAAGAGAGAGATAGAGAGCTAGAAACATCGATGAGAGAGAATCATCGATCAGCTACCCTCCTGCACACCCCCTAACTGGGGATGTGCCCGCAACCAAGGCACATGCCCTTGCCCGGAATCGAACCCGGGACCCCTCAGTCCGCAGGCCGACGCTCCATCCACTGAGCCAAACCGGTCCCGGCTTGGCATAACTTTTTAAAAATATATTTCATTGATTTTTTACAGAGAGGAAGAGAGAGGGATTGAGATTAGAAACATCGATGAGAGAGAAATATCGATCAGCTGCCTCCTGCACACCCCCTACTGGGGATGTGCCCGCAGCCAAGGTACATGCCCTTGACTGGAACTGAACCTGGGGGCACTTCAGTCTGTAGGGCGATGTTCTATCCACTGAGCCAAACCAGCCAGCTTTTTTTTTTTTTTTTTTTTTTTTTTTTTTTTTTATAGTAAGAGAAAAAACATTTTTCAAGTTATATATTAAGGAAATTATCATTAGAGTTTTTGAAGATAGTTTTCCATTGTGTTAACTGCAGGTCTTGAATGGTTGGTTCATGACAGTAATTTTTTCATTTGGGTAATTGTTTATATTCACTTTATATATTTAATCATAGTTCTAATTCCTAGTATAATATTACATATTATTTTTCTTTATAGTGAGAACATAGTTTAATAAAAGCCTAGAAGAACACACTGGAAGCTTTTTATGCTATTTAAATAAAAATCAAAGAAAATTTACATTTGACCCTTGAACAACATGGGGTTGAACTGTGCAGGTCCACTTTTATGCAGATTTTTTTCAGTAAATGCATACTATATTGTATATTCTCTTATGATTTTCTTTAGTTTATTGCAAGAATTCAGTATGTAATACATACAAAATATATGTTAATAGACTGTTTGGGCTATTAGTAGTTAAATTTGGGGGGAATTAAAAGTATAGGCAGATTTTTTATTGTATTGAGGTCAGTGCCCCTAACTCCCACATTGTTCAAGGGTCAACTGTATTGTGATCCTTTTATAGCAGTTAAATAAATCTAATTCTAAGGCTTAGAAATCTGTTAACAATGTTTGTATTAGAATTCCTCATGTAAAATATTTTTTAAATAGTATTTTTTTTTTATTTCCCCCTCTCAGCATTTTACTTCCATTAGTTTCAAATCTACAAAGGTTATAAGAGTGGTATAGCCAGCACACTACCTACCCTTCACCTAGCTATTTATCTAATATTAATTAACATTACGTTTTGCCAGCTTTCTTTGACCAGAATGACTGGTCGACCTATTGCTGTGATGTGCACTGACCACCAGGGGGCAGACGCTCAATGTAGGAGCTGCCCCCTGGTGGTCAGTGAGCTCCCACAGCGGGGGTTCTGCTCAGACAAAAGCTGGGCTCACAGCTGGTGAGTGTAGCTGTGGCAGTGGTGGAGTAGGAGCAGTGGGGCCAGGATGAGCAGCAGCAGAGCTGTGCCCACCCAGCTGGGGTTCCTCCCCAGCTGCCTGCTGCTTTAGCACTGCTGCATCCCTCAGGGTCCCAGATTGCAAGAGTGCACAGGCCAGGCTAAGAGACCTCACCCATGCATGAATCTGTGCACTGAGCCTCTGCTGAGTCTAGTCTATTATAATGGTGATTGCAAACTAGTGATTTTAATAATTCTGTTATTCTTTCTACATTTATTGGTTGGCATTCTTCTTTAAAAGTTCCACCTCCCCTTATCCCTTTATTTGGTGTCATTGTAGACTCATGGATTCATTTTTTAAATCTAATGTGTTATCATGCATCACTCTCATAATTCCTGTTCATGCTCAGCTTATGCCAAATTTAGCCATGGGAGCCCTGAAGTGTTATCTTTTAATTATGTGAAGACTTTCTTCTAATCACATATCTGTGGAAAATAGGTTTGACTTAAAAATGTCCTTTTGGATAACATTTCTTTAATCCATAGGCCTTTTTTTCTTAGTTACACTGATTAAAATATAGCACACTTTCACAGAGCTTGATAAGATTATGCCATTTAGTTGTCACCAAAATTACTTGAATGGCTCTTGTCCTGTTACTTCTAAATAGTTTTAGTTTCCCCTTCCTATAGAGTAGAAGCTTACATTAGATTTTTTCCACTTGCAATTATTTCCTGTCCTTGGGGTTTAGGGACATGGTGGTGGACAGAGACATGTTAAAGTATGTTTTGTCTTGTCACAGTTTAGGTGTTCAGTATGTACTGTATATAATGCTTTCACTAAAAAAGGACTCAACAGAGAAGCAAATGCAATTTGATGGTACTCCTTCCATAGAAATTGGTGGAAGGAGTGCTGGCAGTGTGACTAAAGTAAGCCTTGCTAAATAAAAGGCCTGGGAGGAGGAGTCCCTGGGACTGATTTTAGGGGATTATTTTTTTCTTGAACATTTTAACTTGTTTTTCTTAAAAAGGTTTGTTATACTTTTTGTCTTTGTATGTAGAGAATTCTGTGCAATGCCTGAGTATTATGGCTTTCTTTAAAAATTTCTTGGTTTTTAGCCTTGGGGCAGGATCTAGTTAGGGCCAATTAAACAATCAGAGCCCATTATAGATTCTCAAGTCTTGTGCTTTAATGAGGCCCTTTATACCATGGAGAAGTGGGGTCTGGAGGCATTTGCTGGAAAGATTAGATAATTAGAGCTCTGTGAGGTTGTTGTATGTCTTCTCTGCTTTGTCTTTTATTGGATCATTGTGTTTTGAGATGAACGAGGTTCCCACCCACCCCCTTATTATAGGTACAGAAAGCGTAGATCCCTAGTCTTCCCTCTGCTAGGGTTTTAATACTGAAAACTGAGGGCCTCAACAGAAAAGTGGGGGCAGATAGAGAATGCAGACAAGGCGTGGGGGGGAGGGGGGAGCATTTGCTGCTTTCTGTTGCTGTCCATGGGAAAGAGCAAAGCTTTAAAAAGATTTAAGAGTGTGCTAACTCCAGTATGTGAAAGAAGTGGCACGGCAGGCCAGGTGGGTGGGGAATGGATAAACTGGTAACTAACAGCTGATGCTTGCACAGTGGAATAGCCATGTGCGAAATTATGTGACTGTCCCCTCCTCAAACCATTCATAAAATCCATTCCTGGCAGATCAATCTAAATGTTAAAAGCAAAGTCTGTACCTACAATAATATTGTTTTAATTTAATGATGATCTTAATACTTTGATGGATATCACCACTGCTTCTGGAATAGTGAAAATTCTTGCAAGAATACCATTTTATATGTAACTTCTCCATTTAACACCATTTAAATGACATTTAACCTTGTAACTTACCTGGGGAAGTTATTTTTTTCTCTTAAAAAAAGCATTTCCATCTATAGCAGTGGTTCTTAGAAACCTTTCTAATGCCACAACCCTTTAGTACAGTTCCTCATGTTGTGGTGACCCCAACCATAAATTATTTTCGTTGCTACTTCATAACTGTAATTTTGCTACTGTTATGAATTGTAATGTAAATATCTGTGTTTTCTGATGGTTTTAGGCTGTACAGCAGTGGTTTACAGATTTAGAACTGCTAGCAGAGTCGCCTAAATAATGGGTCTTTCCTTCCAAGATGCAATCCTAGAGTTTGACTTGTATGTTTTAGACCACCTCAGAAATTTTTACTACTCTCTGATTACTTGGTAAAGAGGACTGAAGGTATGTCAGTGACAAAAGTTAGGTGAAGAAAACTTCTTGTTGTCACATGGGTGAAGATTGGATATAATAATTGAAATATTTATGAGTGAATTTCTATCTTTGCTTCAAAATGATTCATTGGTTAGTGACAGGGGCATGGGCAGGGATTTTAGATGAAATAATAATGTTGGATGGTAATTGTTGCAGCTGAGAGATGGGCACATGGGGAACTTCTGTGTATTCTCTCTACTTTTATGTGTGTGATTTTTTTTTTTTTTAAATAAAAAAGCTTTAAAAATTGATGCTCTCCTTTTCAATTGGGGAGTTTCCTTGAGAGAATTAAGCCCTAATGCGCTAATGCATTCAGTGTGAATAATGAATTAACTTCTCTTGTGTGCATATAGAATGGTTTTAATTATGAGCCACTCTTGGGAGACTTGAGAAAGTAAGTAGTTGTGTGTGTGTTTTAATATTTTATGGTTCCTAGTGAGGAATGTTGGCCAAGAAAGGCTGGCTGAGGGTATAGAATTGTATGATTGTACAACATTGTACTGTTTTGTAATTTGATGTTTCTTTGCCTTTTAAATAGAAGTTTTGTACTTCAGTTTTTGAACATGGTCAAAATACCGTTTTGTTAATATGTTAACTTTGTACTAAAAGTGTTTGAAACAGTGGTTTTCTTTTCAATTAGGTATGGTCTGAAAGTACAGCCCGTCGAGAGGATGCACCTGGCTGTAGTTGCCTGTGGTGAACGACTGGAAGAAACCATAACCATGTTGAAGTCAGCGATCATTTTCAGCATCAAACCTCTTCAGTTCCATATTTTTGCTGAAGATCAACTACATGATAGTTTCAAAGGCATAGTAAGTATCTGAGACTTAAGTCTATAGAGCTAAATATTTAATGGTGTACTGCTTGGTGGGAGCCTTTTTTTTTCTGCCAAGGCCCATTGGATATTTATAACATCATTCGTGGGCCGTGTAAATTATCAGCTTTAAAATTAGCCTGCTATATTTGGTCAAACATTTAATTAACTCACCCCTAATGCCTTGGCAGGGCCAGATCCAATGATTTCCTGGGACTTGTATGGCACAAGGGCTGAATGTTCCCCACCCCTGCTTTAAAGCAGCAACCATTTCTCACGTTGAGATGACACGCCCCTACATTGCGGGTTTAACGCCTGGTTGGGGCATGTAAAGGGGGCAACCGATTGGTGTTTCTGCCTCTCTTCCTTCATCTCTCTAAAATCAAAGATATCCTTGGGTGAGGATTTAAAAAAAAATTACTTGTAAACAGTCATTCAAAAAGAAAACATTTTTAGCTTGTTACATAAACTACTTAGTGCCCCCTCCTTATAAACTGTGAGTGTAGGAAATTTGAGTCAATCATTTTGTTGAAGTAACAGTGATAGGTAATAAACCTGCAGAATTTAAAACAATACAGTGTCTTGCAATGCATTCAGGATGCTAAAGAGTAAACGTGTTCATTTTAGATTTTTAGGTCTGTTTTGCCTTTTGTAATTTTTTTTTTTTAGAAGTTGGCATTGGATATGTATTTATCAGAACATTTTATTATCAGGAATATCTGCATATTGAAGGCACATAAATAGATACTTTCTAATTAATTTAATATTGGTCTGACTTTGTAAATATGTTATCTATATTAATAAAAGGGTAATATGCTAATTAGACCAGGCATATTCTGGATGATCTTCCAGACAAAGCCATGGTGGCAGGGCCGAGGCAGAGGCGGTTAGGGGTGATCAGGCTGGCAGGGGAGAGCAGTGAGGGGGATCAGGCCTGCAGGGGAGAGCAATTAGGGGATCAGGTCAGCAGGCAGGTGAGCAGTTGGGAGCCAGTGGTCCCAGATTGCGAGGTGGATGTCCAGCTGCCAGTTTAGGCCCGGATATCCCCCGAAGGGGTCCCAGATTGGAGAGGATGCAGGCTAGGCTGAGAGACACCCCCTCCCATGCATGAATTTCGTTCCCCAGGCCTGTAGTATGATATAATAGAAAATGATGCAATAAAATTAGTGCTTCATTTTTCTCAGTTTAATTTGTTTAGAGATTGAGAAGATTTATATATCAGGTGAAGTTGAAGGAGATCAGCAATTTATAAGGCTCTTTCAACTTTCTGATTTTGTGATTGATTTCCTTATAACTTTTATTGTGTCTCAGATCTTTGTGGTGGATTCTCTCTAGCATATTATTATTATTTAAAATTCTGAATGAAAAAAAAATGGTGAGAAAGAAGACTCTTTGTCTTAACTGTGTCCAACATAAAATGTGTAATATCTTAGTTTTTAGTTTTTAAAAAATAATCTGTTGGTATATAATCTTACAGAAAAAATTGAAAGTGAAAAAATAATTAAACTGAGTTCTTATTTTTATATTTTTCAGCTCGACCGCTGGTCATTTTTACAAACATTTAATTACTCATTATACCCAATAAGTTTTCCGAGTGAGAATGCAATGGAGTGGAAAAAGTTGTTTAAACCATGTGCTTCCCAAAGATTGTTCTTGCCAGTAAGTTTTTTCCCCAGTGTTTTGCTTGCATTTTGACTCTTGCCTTTATGACCATGAATTAATGAAGAGTTGGCGTTTAAATCATTACACACACACACACACACACACAAACACTATGACTTTTCCTTTGAACAAAAACAAGAAATAAAAAACATTTCCATAGAAACCTGTTAAAATGAAAACTATACCAGTAAATAATTTCTATTGAAACACTATTTCTTGCATTTTAATTTATTCAGTGCTCTAAACTGTTAAATCTCTAAGAAGAAATCGAGGTCATCTGTTGCCAGTAGAAATGCAATGGTAGTGTCACCTTCTGTCTTACACCAAATCAGTTTACCTTTTCTAACTAATATTTTAACACAAACACAATTTAAGGCTTGTGAACTCACAGGGAGATGAGAACCATTTATTCAGGGGGCTGTTTTTTGGTAATGTTGTCTGGCGATAAACCCTGATGATAAATTTTTAAATCTAAAATATTCAGATTTTAATAAATTGATGCTTTATTTTTCTCTTCTTTTACTGAGTTTGTCTTCCTTTAATGGATGAAAAGAACTAATGTAGGCTCTGTCAACTTCTTCCACAAAAAATACTTAATGTGGTTATTATTTAATCTTATGTCTGAATTTGGAGTTTTATGCAGTCTTCCTAGTCTGCAATAATCCAGTAATCTGGAAACACACATTGTATCGTGGTACAGAACAGAATGTTGATATAAAAACAGTTGCCCTCATTTTTGACTCCACAGCAGAGAGGCAGACAGACCTACAGACTCATGTACATATACTCTTTTAATTGGGGGCTTTATTCAGGCACTCCAGTCAACCATCAGATATTTTTCAGCCTGATACTAAACCAGCTGGTGGCGGGAATTGTGTGTTTTCAACCTCCTAGCTGCTCATTAAGGTAATTGCTTAATTTTAGCTCTAGGAGGAGGTAGCATCTTTGAAAAGGAGCAGAATGAAGATCAAGCTCTTATTTCATTATATTCTTAACTAAAAAGGTTTAGCTTAACATAATTATTGAGTCTTACTGATACACTAGATAGGCAATAAATTTAAATTTGTAGGAGAAAGATTCTAAAATTCATGGGTAAGGCAGAAATAAAAAACAAAAATTGCCTTTGAAAATCCCTGTAGAAGATATGTTGGAGATTTAACATTTCTCAAGAAGTAGCAGCATAGCTGATCTGTCTTGCAATACAAATCTTGTTTTTACTCTTACTAAGTATGTGCACATTTTCTTTGATTTGTTAGCGGACAATAAGCACAGAAATAAGAGCATGAACTTAAGCTAAGTGGTCTGGGTTTCAATTTTGGCTCTACCGTTTGCTAGTTGAAACCAAAGTGATGTAAAGGTGCCAGCCATTAGTGTTGCAGGCCAAGGGAACAAATTTATATATTTTAAAAATATATATATATATTTTTATTGATTTCAGAGAGGAAGGGAGAAAGAGAGAGAGATAGAAACATCAATGATGAGAGAGGACCATTGATTGGCTGCCTCCTACACGCCCCCTACTGGGGATCTTAGAAACATCAATGATGAGAGAGGACCATTGATTGGCTGCCTCCTACACGCCCACAACCGAGGCATGTGCCCTTGGCCAGAATAGAATCTAGGACCCTTCAGTCCACAGGTGGATGCTCTAACCACAGAAAAACTAGCTAGGGCCATATCTTTATTTATATTTGTTTATTTCTGTATTTATCTCAAGAAATTAAGATTTGAGATAGAAATTCACTTAAGTTTATGTTCTTTAAGATTTCTCCCTAATCTCTGAGCATATCCTTTTTATTTTATTCTTATTGTTAGTTTTCTTATTTGTTTTGATACTGTTTCTTTTTTAAAAGTTAATATAAAGATTAGCATAGTATCTTTAACACGCTGTTGCAAAGAATGACTGATCGAGGAAAAATTGCTGTAAAAGTTAATGTAAATTAGCTTATCTCTTAAGTTCTTCTTTGATAATTAAATCTTTTATATTTTATACTAAAATAAATAGAATTATAGTTAACGATTCAAATATCTCTCCTTATAGTTAATCCTGAAAGAAGTTGACTCACTATTGTATGTCGACACTGATATCCTTTTTTTACGGCCCGTTGATGACATTTGGTCTTTACTCAAGAAATTTAATTCCACACAAATTGCTGCAATGGCACCAGAACATGAAGAGCCTCGAATAGGATGGTATAATCGCTTTGCCAGACATCCATACTATGGAAAAACTGGAGTGAACTCTGGAGTTATGTTGATGAACATGACTAGAATAAGGAGGAAGTATTTCAAGGTAAATCCCTGATAATAGGTAGTTGGTTATTTTCCCGCTGAAGTATTTGGTTTCCGATTTAATTTTGCTTTGTTGAAAACTATATTAAACTATTCAGAATATTTCCATTTATCTAAAATATTTGAAGAAATGCGTGTTCTTAGTATTCTGTTTATTAGAGCATTGTTCAAACGATGACATTACAGTGAAGTGAACTAACGCAAACATCACCTTTTTAGCAGCAGTCGTTCTATAGTTGTGCAACCATAGAATACTTGAATTTAAAGTGTGAGACATCTTGGGGGAACACAGAGTTGCAGTTAAGAGCTTAAGACTCTGGTGCATGCTGGCTTGATTCAAACACTAGAATCTTGGGTAAGTTTTCTCATCTATGGGGTTTAGTTTCTTCATCTGTGAAATGAGGATGGCAAGGTAACACATTACCTATATCATAGGCTTTTGTGAGGATGAAATTAGAACAGTGGCTAACACATAGTAAGTGTACAGAGTTTGCCACAAAGTAAGCACTTAAATGTCAGCTAAAAACCATGACCTCTGTAACACCCATATAGACTTACTGTTTATAGACTTACTTTACATCTAGTTAGGACAGAAATGAACATAAGAGATATTAAGTCATACCTGATATGAGTATATGGGTGTTTTATATGTATATTTGTCAGATCTTTTTCTTATGGCTTCTGGTGGAATAGAAAATTTACATCATCATTTAATTCTCCTTTCTACGTGTCTGATTTAAACCTCCCTCTTATTCTGGGTATAGGCAGCAGTGATGCTTGTAGCCACTCTGCTGCCACATCCTGACATTTCAGTCTTAGGACAGACAGTTATATCCATCATTTTGTAAATCTAGTACTAGTAAATCTAGGTGGTGGTGTTCTTTTTTTTTTTAGTAAATCTTTTTCATTTTCTGAACCTTTCTGAAATCTTGATTTCATTTTACCTTTGTCTCTCACAATTTAATGAACGAATGAGGCTGGTGTGATCTTTGTTCTTGCTTAAAAGTGAACATCTTTCTTTAGTTACCCAATTTGTTAATATATCTTGAATTTTAAAATTATACATACCATAAATTTTTCTAAATAAGATTTCAAACTATGAGTTTTCTTACTTTTCTATGCATAGTAATATTATACCAGAAGATGGTGCTGTAAGATTATCTGCTAAGGAATAATGTGACTTCTCAGTAACCCTTCATTTGAAATTCACAGAATTATGAGAAACTTAGTGTTGCAAAGAACCTTAGTGATAATTTAGTGTAACACCATTATTCAGTTTTTTAAAAATTTCAAAATACAGCTATATAGTTCAAATCTATGATTATTTTTTACTTATTTAAATGTCATTCTTAAATACTTTAACAGTTTCTCCCATTCCCCTTTTATTTTTGTCTATGGCATGTTCTAAACCAGCTGGGGATGTAGATATGGAAGTTTAAGTAATTGCTAAATTTTCAAACTTTAGCTTTCTTTTGTGTATTAATGACTATTTAATGAAGAAAAATATGAGAGTCATTGTACATTAATTTAGTAGGCACAGTTTGCTTCATACCTACTGTCTCTATGTTCCAAATAACCCTACTCTTGCTCAGTGAGAACAATACAAATTTGCTTTGTTTTCAAATATTATTACATTTATGGTTGCTGGATGCTTCTACAAAATTCATTGAGTTTTTAATTCCTTTTTTATAATCTTACTTTGTTTTCTGGTTTGCTTTCTAGGCTATATATCTGTAGCAAACATTATCTTGATTTTTCCTGGCACAGATCTTAAATTTTAGAGCACTTAATTATTTGTAATAACCTTACAAACTGTTTCATACAGATCTGTGAGTGCTATCCCATAATTCTTACCTGCATGAAAAGAGAACACTTAATGTGAGGTAGACATGCTGGTGGTTTCTACATATTTGAAAGATGTATGTGACAGGGACTGGTGGACCCCATTGCACTAATAAAGAGGATTTTTATTGTAATACACACACACACACACACACACACACACACACACACACACACACACACTATACCTTATGAGAACAGAATATCAATGAACATATTACCAAAAGGGATAGAACTTTTCAGAGATTAGTGGAGTAACTAATTTGATGAGTTTCAGTTTCTAGCATTGCTGAAATATAATATGAATAGCCACCTGTCAGTTTTATATTATAAGGTAGACTTTTAATGGTAATGAACCTATGTATTTTCAAAAGCATACATAATTCTAAAAGGGAAAATAATTGATTTTAATATAATGTGTATTTTGGTAGTAGATTTGCTAAATTTAATAAATTAAAACTATGAGGTTGGTAAAAGTAGGTCTATAGTTGTTTGTATGGAAAATACTATGATAATTGGTAAATAATAATACAAGAATAAACTTGTTTTACATACAACTGTAAACCTTTTTGCCAACTTTTTTTTAAATTACAAAACTAAATTTTTTAAAATATATCTTTTATTGATTTTAAAGAGGAGGAAGAGGAATAGAGATAGAAACATCAATGAGAGTGATCAATTGGTTGTTTTCTGCACGTGCCCTACTGGGGATCAAGCCAGCAACCCAGGCATGTGCCCTGACCTGGGAATCTAACCATGACCTCCTGGTTCATGGGTTGATGCTTAGCCACTGAGCCATGCTGGCTGGGCTCAATCATGTTTATAAAAATTGAAACGATTCATAGTATGCAGAGTCAAAAAACAAGTTTCCCCTTTGCACACCGCTTTCCCCAGTTTTCTGTCTTTTTTTTAAATTTAATTTTATTGATTTTTTTATAGAGAGGAAGGGAGAGAGATAGAGTTAAAAACATCAATGAGAGAGAAACCTCCATCAGCAGCCTCCTGCACACTTCTTGCTGGGCATGTACTCGCAACCAAGGTACATGCTCCTGGTTGGAATCAAACCTGGGACCTTTCAGTCTGCAGGCCGATGCTGTATCAACTGAGCCAAACTGGCCAGGGCCCCAATTTCATTTCTTTGCCAAAATGACAAACTTTAGACTTTTTTAAAAAACGGCATTTGAAACTGATACACGTTTATATTAACACTTACATATAGGGTCCTATTCTATATCTTCACTTTGCTTTTTTTAGTAAAGATATAATTGCTTTTTCTCAGTACATGCAGTCAGTCACATTTATTTTTAATGTGAGTGTAGTATTATAGAGACGGTTGATAGGGTTTTATTATTTGTATGTACTAGTATGAACTTGAAATTATATGGCTGAAAAATAACTCATATCTTTTCCTTTGTGTTTTTTTGACACTGCTACTAGTGTGGATAAAAATCTTATTATAATTTTTAGTCATTTCTTTTTCCTCCTTTGTAATGGCTATTTGTCCATATCCTTAGGCCATTTTTCTAATTCTGTTGACTTGATTTCTCATTGTTTTTCATTGGTTGTCTTGAATATTTTAGTTATGTCATCAGCAAATAATATTAGTGTTGTTTCTTATCCAGTATTTTCCTAGTGGGATTTTTAAGTCTTAAAGGTTTTTCCCCTCTTTGATCTTCACTCTACCCTCCAAGACTCCACTGGGCCTTGTAGTATATCTTTCATTGCTTTTTCTTTGAATAGATGTGTGTGTGTGTGTGTGTGTGTGTGTGTGTGTGTGTGTGTGTGTGTTTAAATCTATCTATCTGCATTTGAATAGATTGAACGCAGTGAAGAGTTGAACATGGCCTGGTACAATGGGCCCACCAGTCCCTGCCTATTGAAGGTGTTACTGGTCTTTATCCTCGTGCAGTTTATATTTTTCTTTTCAAATCCTAAGAATATTGTGTTAACCTGCTCAGTGACTTATTTCACAGTAATTTTTTCAATAAAATATTTTCTTATTTCCTTAAGTAAAATTAGTTTTGGTCATTTTCCAGATTATTTTGGGAGGGACTTTAGATTCCTTTATTACTGTGATTACTACATTCTGACAAATTTCACACAAAGCTAAACAATTTGAGCAAATCACATTTAGTTTAAATGTTTTGGCTTTTTCCCCCAGGAATTCTAGCTTTTTCTTTCGCTTTCTTCAAGGATATATTGTTTATACCTCCACTAAGTTTATATATCCTAGAATAGCCTACAAAATGTTTTTCAAACTTTGGAGAAGGATCAAATTTTTTTTTCAACTTGCAATCTGCCATGAGCCAATAGTTTTCTAAAATGATGTAAATAAGCCTGGCTGGTGTTGCTCAGTGGTTGAGTGTTGACGCAAGAACCAGGAGGTCATGGTTCAATTCCCAGTCAGGTCATATGCCTGTGTTGCAGGCTGAATTCCCAGTAGGAGGCGTGCAGGAGGCAGCTTATGATTCTCTCATCATTGATGTTTCTATCTCCTTCTATCTCTTTCTGAAATCAATAAAAACATGTTTTAAAAAATTATATAAATAAATTAACTAAAATATAAGATTAAATAGATATAATTCTGTTAAATTCTATAAAAGTTTCTAAACCTCACTTTTAATATTTGTACTTAGTCTTATAGAGGTCATAAAAATTCATTGATTGGCATGATGCAAACTGCACTTAGAGAAATACTGGGTTAAGTCTGGAGAGTTTAAGAGAGTCACAGAAGTATAAGAAGCTTACTATTCAACTCCATCCCTTCACATTCCAGATTCTGTGGTCCAGAGCCCTCTTTCAATTTTGTTGCTTCCTCAGGTATTTGACTTCATCTTATTTAATAAAAGAGTAGTATGCAAATTGACCATCACTCCAGCACACAAGATGGCCAACCCCATATGGACACAGGGGAGGACAGTTGTGGGTGACCAGGCCTGCAGGGGAGGACAGTTGCAGGGGGAACCCAGGCCTGCAGGAGAGGGCAGTTGGGGGCGACCAGGCCTGCAGGGAAGGGCACTTAGGGGCAATTGGGCCAGCAGGGGAGCAGTTAGGTGGTGATCAAGCTGGCAGGCAGAAGAGGTTAGGGCAATCAGGCAGGCAAGCAGGTGAGCGGTTGGGAGCCAGCAGTCCTGGATTGTGAGAGGGATGTCTGACTTTCCGTTTAGGCCAGATCCCAGATTGGAGAGGATGCAAGCTGGGCTGAGGCAAACAACCCCCCTCACTTCTTCCCCCCGTTCACGAATTTCATACACCAGGCTTCTAGTGTTTTAAAATAATGAGCTATGAGGCTGAAAGGCAACTGATGAAATTCAGTATCTATTTTTTATATCAATTTTGAATGCTCTCTGAAATGCCAGTTACAAAAGATTAGCAATCAGTCTAAGAATAATAGTGATCATGGCAACAACAGTAATAGCTAACTGCTTGTGTGTGCCATGTGTCAGGTACTATTCCAGGTATTTTTTAATTATATGGTAACAGGTTAATCCTCAACAACTCTATGATATAGACATAGACATAGACAGAGGTACTTTGTCTAGACATATGGCATAGGTACTAAAGTGGTCTGCATTTTCAGATGAGGTTTCAGTCAGACCATTGCCTGCTTTCTCTTTCCATCTCCTTCCCAGCTTTATTATTCTCAATTCTACATGCAGCTTCAGATAGCTTCTTTGTTATCTTTTCCACTCCAGCTGGGCAGCCTTACTCACATGAAGGCTTACATTGGCATCACTGGGTTTTGTAACAAAAGAAGTTCCTGATCTGTAATGATTGCTAAGGGGAGAATGAGGAACTGTCATCATGCCACCCTTTTGAGCCTGGAAGCTTAAGGACCTTTTTACTGTGTTTACCAATAGAATGATATGACAACTGTGCGGATGCGATGGGGAGACATACTGATGCCATTGCTCAAGAAATACAAACTGAATATCACGTGGGGTGATCAAGATCTGTTGAATATCATATTTTTTCATAACCCAGGTAATCATTTAATTTCTTTAATCCTTTGCATTTGTAAAAAAAAATACAGGAGTTATTTAGTCAAAATTAAATGTACTTATTTGATTTTGGCTTTATATTAATAACTATTACTATTTATGTTAAAGACAGAGTAAAACTTTTCTTGAATATTGATTTAGTCCGAGATCTAAAAGCCAAATGTATTTTTTACTATTTTAAATTTTATTTTGTAAGGACTGTAGTTTTAAACTAAAATTTTTGCAAAATGTTAATTCTTTGGGATTAGGGCTATTTACTTAATTGTTTTGTCTTTCTTCACGTAGAAAGTCTTTTTGTTTTTCCGTGTCAATGGAATTATCGACCAGATCATTGTATATATGGAAGCAATTGCCAAGAAGCAGAGGAAGAAGGAATCTTTATTCTTCATGGAAACAGAGGTGTTTACCATGATGATAAGCAGCCAGCATTTAGAGCTATTTATGAAGCACTGAGAAATGTAAGCATTTTAAAATGTTTTTATGTGGAAATACTTGCAAGCTTATGGAGAACTTGTAATAACAATACAAAAAATTTCTATATCCTTTACTGAAGAAGATGGATATGCTGTTAATATTTTACCCCATTTGCTTTATCATTGGTTCTCTTTATACATACATTGTTTGTTTTCTGAATAATGTGCTTTTGTCCCTAAAAACTTACGTGTGTTTTCACTTAGAACAAGGATATTTTCTTATTACCAACAGACAGGACAGATGTCAAACTCAGGAAATAAAATATTGATACAATACTTTTATCTATCATCCATGAGCTTTACTCTTCTTTGATCTAGAACAGGTTTTCAATCTTTTTTTGTCTATTATGGCATTGGTATTTTGGGAGGAATAGAGCCCCTTAATTCCTTACATTATTCGAATGTTCTTCATATTGGCTTGCCTGATGTTTCTTTGTGTTTAGATTCAGAGTATGCCCTCCTGGTCAGAATACTATTTAAGTGGAGTTGTGTTCTTTTCAGGGTGTCACATTCAGTCACCTCTGTCTGCTTGCCTCTTATTTGTGACATTGATTTTAACCAATCAATCAAAATGTTGTTCAGTTTATGCACTGTATAGGTATTTGTCCTCTTGAAAGCAGTTTTTGGGGAGACTCTGTAAAATCATGTAAATACCCTACTCATCAAAATGTCCAAAATGTCCATAAAGTTTTACTCTGTCTTTAACATAAATAGTAATAGTTATTAATAGTAGTGATTGTTGGTTTTTGCTCAAACCAGTCTTTTTATTTTTATTTTTTTAAACAGTCAAGAAGAACTGTTATTTTTTAAAAAGTATATTTTATTGATTTTTTTACAGAGAGGAAGGGAGAGGGATAGAGAGTTAGAAACTGGCCAAATCAGTTAGGGCTAAAGTAACTTTATTGATACACATTTTATATACCACAATGTTCATCCATTTAAAGTATATAATTAATTGGCCAAAACCGGTTTGGCTCAGTGGATAGAGCATCGGCCTGCGGACTGAAAGGTCCCAGGTTAGATTCCGGTCAAGGGCATGTACCTTGGTTGTGGGCACATCCCCAGTAGGGTGTGTGCAGGATGCAGCTGATCGATGATTCTCTCTCATCGATGTTTCTAACTCTCTCTCCCTCTCTCTTCCTCTCTGTGAAAAATCAATAAAATATATTTAAAAAAATTATATAATTAATTCAATCATTTTTTGCATGTTTGCAAAGTCTGTATTTAGCATCTCCCTGACAATAGTAAGTTCTTTGTATATTAGGGATATTAGTACTTAATCAGTGATTTCTGTTGTAAATATTTTCTCCCACTTCTTTTATGGCATTTTTTGCTGTTCAGTTTGTTTTAATTTTGTTTAATCATGTTTAACAACCTCTTTGTAAAAAGTCAAAATAAGATAGCCTTTTCCTTACTACAATTAGGTTATAGAAATATTTATCTATGTATTTTACTTATTAAATTTAGTCCTTTGCTTAGTTTGGAATTTAGTCTTTTGAATTAGGTGAACAATGGATTGCATTTGATCTTTTTCCAAATGGCAGTCTTGTCCAAACGCCATTTATTTAAAAGTCTATCTTTTTTGTTTGTTTGTTAGTCTTCACTGAAAGAAAATTTTTTCCATTGATTTTAAAGAAAGTGGAAGGAGGGTAGAGGGGTAGAGGAGAGAAACATCAGTGTTAGAGAGCCACATCAATTGGTTGACCCCCAAGTGTGCCCCAATCCTGGTGGGGAACCTGCAACCCAGGTACATGCCCTTGACCAGGAATTGAACCAGAGAGCCACTGAGTCACTGAGTCACACTGACCAGAGCTAAAAGTCCGTCTTTAATGCAAAGGTTTGAGGTACTGATTTTATCATATACTAAAGTTGCATTTTCATTTCTATTTTGTTCCATTGATCTGTTCATTTGTGCACCAATGCCACAGTATTTCACTTTGTGCTGTATTTTATTATCTTCATAGTCTGTCTTCAGTGTGTTCCTAGATCTTGTATATTTACTTTCCCACAAATACCAACACTTTTAACTACATAAAAATCTTCAGATATTAGGGGCTGCTGAGATTTTGATGGTGTTGAGACATCTTAACAAGGGCTGTCTTTCTCTTTGTGTCTCAGCATTGTTTAGTAGTTTTCTGTATAGATTTTAAATTTGTCTTGAGTTTATGCTTAAGTATTTTATCTTTTTTGTTGCTTTTGTAAATGGGTTTTTTTGGTTTAAGCATTTGTTTTTATTGAGTTTTGGATGGAAATTATACTCCCCCTCTCCTATCCCTGCCCCATTAATATTTTCCCCCTCTTTTTTCTTGTTCTTGTAGTCCCCTTTTGTGTAATTAAGGTGGTTTTACAAGGGAAGGTGATTATACTTCATATGTCTAGGGTGATGCATGGAACCAGGTCTGAATATGTTGGGGACCAAGTCTTGGGGCAAATCCAAATGAAGGTTGAATTTATGGTTTTGTTTAATGAGTTGTATCACTCACTATGCACGCAGCTAATTCACTGGTACTTAGGGAGAAGTATATGTGACCACTTATCTCATGTAGTTCTGCTGTCAGGCTAGACTGTGCCTAATCTTATATGGATATGAAGACAAGACATAAATGAATCATGGGAGTAACTAGTTCGGCTTACATGTGGGCGCTGGATTCCAATTCTTATTAATTGCTGGTGACTGAAACCTCTGGTCTAGTACAGCCTCATCAGTAGGAATCAGAAAAAAAACAACTGTAATCCACTGAGCTACACTCATTGGAGGATTATAAAATTTAGTGTTGATGTTCATTTAACGCAGTATTCAGAAATCAATATCATATTTTAATGATGTTTTTTCATGGATTGTCAAAAGGTGATAAAAATGAACAAAAGGACTTTTGGAGGATCTGAGACTTTGCAGAATAGAAAAGAAATGCATACTTATAAAAATGTGATTTCTTTGTTTCCTTTGAGCATTAAAAATGCATTATTAAAGAATTAAATCTTTCTAATTTATTTGATCTTTTATCTTTTATAAATACATACCTTTAAAATGTTGAGTTGGTTTTTAAGCTGATTAACTACACTTGATTTTTTAAAAATAAATCTTTTAAGATTATTTCAAATACTGAATTAATAATTTTATGTTTTTCAACTTAATGAAGTTAATCACCCTTTATGGTACTTTTGGCTAGTGTTTTTATCTTCCCTTATCTATAATTCAGTGAGAAGTGTAATTTTTAAAAGAATTGCATTCAGACAAAGGTATTTATGCAAGTTTTAGACAGACACTTAGTCATAGCTATCGAATACAGTGAACAATATGAATTATAAAGAATGTGTATCATTTTTAAATTGTAAATGCATGGCTATATCTGCCAGCAAATCAATTTTTACAATCCATATATATTTCTTAAATATTAGTTCTTGAGTGAATAAAAATATTAAGGTTAAAAATTGCAATTCAAAATGGGAACAAAGTATTTTATTGCTCTGTAAGGTATTTTCTGCTTAATGTATATCATCCTGAATTATTATATTTCTTGGTATTTCTGTGTTAAGTTTGATTTACTTCTCACACTCTGCTTATATTTGCATAACTATCTCAGCAAGAGAGTTGAGTGCTTACTCCTACACAACCTTCTTAGCCAGAGCCATGGTTGTACCCAGCATTTGCTGGATTGAACTGCCATTTTGCCATATTTTAAAAACATGTCTTGCTCTTTGAAAATGCCTTGAATTATTTACTTGTGGTCATCATAGTCTCGCTTTTTGCTGCCTTTCAGTCTGCAGTCTTATATACAGAGCACAACCTTCCTGAAAGTCTGTGTACTGAGTGGTGTGCCAGTGACGAGGGAGGGAGTGATTAACTGTCAGGAGAGGTTTCTCAGAGGAGCTGACACTTGAACTGAGCTGTGAGGATGAGGACCAGGCAGAAAAGGGAAGGTGGAGATGAGCGAGGCACAGCCTGCGGTGTGGGAAGAGGCTGCAGTCAGGGTAGGCACACGTGGGAACACCAGATGCCAGTTGTGTACTGCACTACTCTATGGGCACTTCACTGTTACGTGAATGGAAGAATGCAGTGACTTAAGGCTATGTTTGCATCGGAGGGATTTGGGGCTTTTATCCGTTTCTCCCCGAGCTTGTGGCTGTCATCTCACATTAGTAGAATCCCTGGGTCGTCTCTGTCCCTGAACATGTGAGAACTCTGCCTTCGCTTGCCCTGCCTCCATTGTTCTGTGGAAAGCTCTCCCTGGTGCCCCAGCGATTACCATCACTTTCTTCTCCTCCAGAATGTGAGACCATAGTTCTGTTTATTTCACTGAAAATATTGGTTGAGAAAATGCTTTTGTGAGACTTAGTTTGTTTTAAAATATGTTTTTATTGAATTTAGAGAGTGAGGGAAGAGCGGGGGAGAGAGAAGCATTTATGTGAGAGAGAAACGTCGATGGTTGTCTCCCGTACACACACCAACCGCAGACTGAGCTGGCAACCTGGGCATGTGCCCCGATCAGGTATGGAACCGGCGACCTTTCTCAACCAACTGAGCCACACTGGCCAGGGCGTTTTTAATGAGACTTTAAAGGGAGGTTGTCAATATTAAATTGATTGAAGAAGTTATTTAAAATTAATTACATATTTATATTTGTCTTTTTATTTTCTTCCTCTAGTGTTCTTTTGAAGATGACTACATCCATTCCTTGTTAAAACCTTTAGAACTGGAATTGCAAAAGACAGTGCATACATACTGCGGGAAAATTTACAAAATATTTATCAAACGGCTAACCAAAAGCATCCAAGACCGCTATGATCGACCACCCAAGGAAAGGTGACTCTTGGAGACTACTAAGTCAAATGAATTAAACAAACAAAATATAGAGGAAACGTGAAGAAATAGTCTTGGATGAAGTGTTCAGGAAAGAATTATTCATCTTCAGAATAATTTCTTTTTCCTGGGGAAGTTAAATGAGCAATATATTCATTTAATGAAGAATAAATTAAAGTCTTGGGACTCCAATAAGAAGACATTTTTCATCTCTGACGTTTTATAATGTGATTTGCTGTCATTCCAGTATTGATGAAAATACTAAATTGTTTGTAGCCTCTAGACTTTGGTTGACTCTTAAGCTCAAGTGAGAAAGAATAGTGGAAGGGACGGGGTATATGAATGGAGAAAATGTACCTCATACACAGTGGGTTGCAAACTGTGAGTATAGCAATAATTTTGCCAGCACTAACCTCACTTTAAATGTGTGAGAAAAACGTTTACAGGAGCAGAAAAGATTCTGTTTCTAAAGAAATGTGATATAACCATTGACAATCCATGTGTGCCTTCATAGATTTCATCTCTGTTTTAAAATCTTTTTTTTTTTTGACAATCACATTTAAAATTATTTTTAGATTACAAGTAAACTGCATGTTTAAAATGGCACTGTATAAGAAAGAGGGAAAACAGTGATAATTGTGTTTTAGTCTGTGTATGCTTGTGAAATATAGTATTTTCGTGTGTTTATTTTTAATCTGTCTTGCCAAACTCAGATCTAAGATCGTTAAATGTTTTGGAAAAAACACTTTTTTTTGTCATTTTAAATGAAGAATTTCAGCTTTACTGGGCATTCTGGAAGCAGAAAAAGAAATGATAATAAAATGAAAACCTAAATAGTAAACTATGTGATGGACCAAAATGCATAAGCTCTGTACTTCTGTGAACAGTAATTTTAGTTACAACAGAGCAGGAGAAGGTGGTCATTTAACTTTTTTTCTTCTACCTCAATAGCTTTGCAAGATATTTTTGAAGAAGCAAATATATAGAGCCTTAATTTAAACAACTATCTTGGATGATTGGGATTAAGAAAATTGTTACCTCTGACTACAGGAAAGTAGTTTGGGTCAATGTGAATAGCCTCCCTTTTTGAACATCACTTTAAGACAGTTATTTTTTTTTTATGTTGAAAATACAAAAAAAAAAAAAATACTTCTCAGTGTCCTTGACCTCTAAGTTTGGAGGGTATATAGAAGGTTGTTGTTAATGGTCCCCAAATAAGACCATTGCCTGTCTGGCTGCATTAGACTCTTGGGGAGAGCTTGTTGAGAATGGATTCTGGGGCTTCTGGCCCACTGTGTCTAGGATTGAGGTCTGCAGACTTTTTTTTTTTAAATGAAGAAATTTAAAAATTACACAGCGGAGAGAAAAATATGGTGGTGCTATTTGTCCAGATCAAGCACTTCTCAATATCTTGCCATATTTGCATCATCTATCCTTTTTTCTTTTTTTTCTAAAGTATCTTAAAGAAAATTCCAGACAGCATGTGATTTCACCACCATGAACAGTTCAGAAACTACAGTGACATTATACTTTCTCCATATTAAATGCATCTCCAGTCCTTAAGCAGATTCCCCTGCTTGTCTCCAGTGTGAGAATCAGGGTGCAGAAATGAGTCACATTATGATTCTATTTTTAATAAACATCTCAGGTGATTTTGATGTCAGCTAGTTTGGGAACCACTGGAAATCATTTTGCCAACTTGAAAATTGAAATTAGGATATCATAATCCTTAGCACAGTTGGTGGATTATAATCGTGATTCTGAAATATTAGACGAAGTACTTGGGGTTATTGACAGCAGATGAATTTGTATCTAAGTAAGTTCCTTAGGTTTAATTTCCTCAGTGAACAGAGAATCTCAGCCCCATGGGCTCTGATATGATTGGGACCGTGTAGAGTATGGTCGTTTAATCCAGCTGGGCTGTATACCCTGGTCTCACACATGTGGCTTATTTACACTGCCACACATTACACATTGTCCATCAGTTGGAAGATTCTTCATCTGTTTTATCCAGATCTGGCCTGATTGGGCATTTTACCATAAATTGGTTTATGGTGAAAACTTTCTACTTATGGACTATTTTACCTAAAACTTAGAATATCACAGGAAGTCCATAAAAATATTAAAATGAGTTTTCTGAGTTTATCTTTAGGTAAGGTAACTTTTTCCTTGAGGATTCTCAAGAAATGCAGCTCTCAGCATTAATGAGGTTAAATTATAGAACAACTTAGAGAATATTACATTTCTTTTTATAAAATAGTATACCTATGCAGTTTATATAAATTACATTGTATATTTTTTGAGTCTATATGTTAGAATAATTCTGACCTCAGAACTATCTCTGGGCTACAGTATTACCAAAGTGAATTGACTAAAATATAGTCACACTTCATGTGTATGAACTAGTTATCTTAAAAGAATATGGAAGACTTTTAGAAATATATATTGTAATTTACATTTTAAGAAAATACAGTCCTGGCTGGTTTGGCTCAGTGGATAGTGTTGGCCTGCAGACTGAAGGGTCCCAGGTTCGATTCCAGTCAGGGGAACTTGCCTGGTTTGTGGGCTCGATCCCCAGTAGGGGGCGTGCGTGAGGCAGCTGATCAGTGATTCTCTCTCATCGATGTTTCCCTCTCCCTATCTGAAATCAATAAAAATATATTTAAAAAAAAACATATACGGTAATCCCCACGTGAAGAATAGTTCAGAATGTATTAGGTAACCCAGTTGCCTTTGGATGCGTTAGAGCCTGAAGTAATATTACTGCTTACTGTTGCTCTCTCATCCTGCCTCCAATTAGATGTTAGTGGTGTAATGGGAAGAAAATGATACTGTGAACTAAGTCTGTGTCCTCTTCCTGGTTTAGGGATTCCAAGTTTATTGTTTAATCTTTCTGACCTTGGGTTTGCAAGTAATCGATACGCCCTTCCAAACTCATGAGATCCAGCAGTCATGAGTTAGGAAGTTTTGCGACTCGAGAGAGAATGGGTTTGAAAACGTTCTGCATGGCGTCTGTCATGTACATCAATCAGCGTTCCTGTGAAAGTTCTGCTTTGCCCAGTCATCCCCTTCAACTGAATGGTTTCTGACATCATTGTATCTCCAGTAATAATTTGCTTATATTAGGTAAGGAAGAGTTTTTAAGAAGAGAAAGCAGAGAAAAGAATGATATAAGTGAATGATCAAAAAAGAAGGAAAAGAGAGGAAGTGAGAAAAGGGAGGAAGGATGGGAATGAGAGTGAGAATGGCAAAAGGCAGAGTAAGAAGAGAGGGAATGAGTATGGATGGAGCGATGGAGAATCGAGATGGAGCGATGGAGAGAAGTGGTGTGGAAACAGGCGGAGTTGTAGCCCCCACCCTGTGCCCCTGCCGCTCGCCTTCCTCCTGTGCAGTGCGGGCCCTCAGGGTCAGGAGGTGCTGGCTTCATGGAGGAGGCAGCACGGCTCCCTTGTTAGATTTGTTGATGCTGGAGTTCATTTCCCAGTCACTCTACTCACTTATTTAGAGCTAATGATTGAACATTATTTTCATTATTATTTTCTGGATCCCAGTTTTTGAGGTAGGGCCTTTGGAAACACAATGACAAGCATCTTCCCTTAACATTTTCCTTTAGTCATTCTGAATGTCGGATCATGCAAGACCACAACACAGAGTCCTGGGAGAGGCTAGGGTGGAGGGATGGTTTCGTTAGGTGTGAAGGGGCCAGGAACTTACTGCATCGTTTTTCCAAGATGTTGTTGATAGGAAGCCAGGCTTGGGAATCATTGCCCTCCCTTGAGTGGCAGCTTAAACAGTCACATCTATTGATTCCTCAATTGCGTATTTTCAGTGGAGCCGGTATGAATGGATTCAAGAGAACAGGAGAGAGCAGAAATATATTAAAGGCAAAAACCTTAAGAGAGAGTACTTTTCAGTAGTTTATATTGTACTAGTAAGTAAGACGATGGTGCTGAGTGTCTTTAGTAGTAGTCAGGACCTCTTTGAGGTGTTTAGAATGACTGTGGATCTGTTTTTTTAAAATAGCTTTTTTGGTTCCTTAGAGTAAATTAAGAAGAAAAGTAGGGGAGCAATATGTCAGGTGTGGGGTGAGTTATCCATTTATTAAATGTAATTTTAAGTGTCTTAAAACAACCGCCTTTTAATATTTGATAAAAGTAGATTAAAGAATTATTTGTATGTAACAGTTACCTTTTTATACACTGCCAAAGCAACCCTTATTTGCCTATTAAATTCTGGCCGAACTGTTCTGATGTTTGTTGTTTATTAATTCATTGAACATGAAACTAGATTTTTTTAAAAACTAAGTTATAAAGTTACATAAACTTAAGACAACTCTAAAAGGTGGTACAAGAATGTTCTTTTATAAAACTGAAAAGGAATATGATGTTAAATCAACTCTCTAGCAATAGAACCATGAGGAGAACATGAAATAGCATATTGGACTAGGCAATTTAAAGTTGATTATAAATCAATGTCACACTTATTTTTAAATGGAAAATATGTATTGTCACCTCATCTATCAACAATTCCAAGTGTCTAATGGGATTTATTTCTTTAGAATTATCTGTAGACTCAGTTTTAAAACAGAGAGCCATTGAAAATATATGAAGAAAAATGAAAGATTCTCTCACCACTAATTCTGTGAGTGGTATTTGGAGAATCTGTGGTCAGACATTTTGAACTGAAACTTAACTGATTTGGAGCCATTGATTATGCTTAGTATATGCATAGTCTGAATACGTGAGCATATTCACACACACACAACACCATAGCAACTGCGTGTAAAAATTGAACACAGTGTAACCGTGTATGTTGCGTAAAAAGTAAATTGACTTTGACTATGATGGAAAATAGCTATTTTTAACTTTTGTATAAAATCTCTTCAGGGAATATTGGAATGTTGTGCTAAAATAATTCAGGTCTTGTAGGATAGCTGTAGAATACATCATTTATTCAAAATTGAGCAGAACACACATGCTTCGTATTCGTTTTTTGAGAGCTGGACCAATGGTTTTTGATGGGTGCTATAACAGAAGATCTATGAAGGAGATGGTTTGCACCTGTTCCCGAAATCAGACACTGGGAACTGTTGCAGATGTTTCCATTTTTTTTACAAGCATTTTGCATAAATGTTTTAATAATTTGGGTAGAATGTTTGTAAAGCTGCAGAAGGCATCTGGTGTACTGTGATATGCAGAGATTACTACCCTTAAACTGCTTTTTACCCTAAAACATTGTGATTTTAGAATAATATGGATGTCTTCCTCCAAGTATTTTATGTATCTTGACATTTATTGAAAGGGGAATATAAGATTATAGATGCCACTATTACCTGAGAATAATGGAAAGTTGCTTTGGTTTGTTTTGGGTGAGTTCAACTCATCTTTTTCTTAAGAAACTGTGTTGCTGTTACTAAAAAAACACACATCTCAATAAATGTTTCATTTTTCCAAATGATGTGTCTGAGTTATTCTAGAAATCATAAGCAGCTCTGGGATGTTTCGGGTTAGGATGCTTGATAACTACGAGCAAACTTTTGGCTTTATTGGCATTTTCTTTCAGGGTCTTTAAAACCTGGCCCACTGAAACTACCTGTGCTCCTTCCAGCAATCCCAGTCTGTTGCCATGGCCACAAACACTTGCATAGCAAAGTCCAGCCTCCTTACTGAGAACCACCTCTGGAACTGTGGTCATGTTAATACCACCCCTCCCCCCACTTTTTATCCTCTTCACCCTCTCACCACCTCATCCCCCACCCCTGGTACAAAACAGGAAGCTTTCTGTCGGTGAACTAAAACAAAGTCCTTCAATTAAGCACTGTCCCTTTTAAGTGGTACCAGA